ACACACACACACACACACACAAACGCACACAGCTGAGCACAAACAGGTGAGATCACATTTCTTCCTCATTCATGGGAACCTGTTGCGGTGGTTGTCTAGTCCAACACTAAATTATCGAGGCTTGGCTGCTCACGGTCATCCAACCACTTTGACTTTAACCTACACCTTTCTTTACTTCCTCTTGTCATTGTTTGACTTCTTGTCCATCAGACACTGGTCTGAACGGACTCCCTGTCGTCGAGTGAAGAAGGAAACACCAGGACTATGGGACTATGGGGAACATGTTGACTGAGAAAACATGACCTCTCCTTGCACGGATCATGTGGACACTGTTGTTTCTTCTCTACCTGGGGACTCTGGACTTTACAGGTATGAACACAAGAGCCATTGTTGCCTTTGGTAACCTATTCTTTTATTATTTACTTAAACTTAAGGTCCTGGTACATTACACACGTGCCACAGCAGGGTAGGTTTGTCTAGGCTGGTCTAAAATAATCTTGAGCTTGTGTGATAAAAAGAAAAAAGTCATGTACATTAACGTGGGGAGACAATTTACAAGGAAAGTGAGTAAACTTAATAAAAACGCTGATGTACAATTCTTGATTTGTTAAGGTTTACTGTTGGCTCTATAGTTTTGACCAAAGTCACATTGAATATATTCCGGAAACTGTCCCTTGTTCAAGCACACTGTGTTAAAAAAAAGCTTACAACAGGAAATTCTCAACAAGTTGTCGTAGTTATTGTGAGTAAGTGATTTGTTTATTGATTTCAGTTGAATCCACGCCAGCTGTGTAATAGGCCTTATATAAATGTGAATATTTTTTAAATGGTGTTTATTTATTCCACAGGGACACTTCTCATGAATCAACAGACATAAATATGTGAACGAGTCAGAGTTAGCTGGAAAGGCACATTTTCATCAGGCATCTCTGTAGCCAGTTGTTACGAGGCAACCTGAAAGAAAAGAAACATGATATATCTTATATAATTACAAATATCTGTAGATAATTCATGTGCATAATGTATATCATCCAAACTAACAAACTCATGGTTAAAAGATTACCAATGAAAAAAACAACAACATGACATCATTTATTAATTAAAGCGGTTTGTGATTTAAATCAGACTATGGATCTGATTTAAATCTGATTTTATGCATGAGTGAAATCACAATAGTCTATTTTCTCTCTTGTCCAGTTTTTTATTGTTTTATAATGTGAACAATATTATCCTCAGTAGTAAAAATAATGCCATAAAACTTTATAATGTATAAACATTTTATGATGTTTATACAAATTAAGTAGGTCATCATGATATGAACCTTTCCATAACTGAAGCTTTCACTGGAACTTTTTACAGAGATTGTACACAAACAAATTATTTTCAGGTTTTCCTCTGAGCCCAATTGTATGGGCCTAGAATGCATTTTTCTTTTAGTCATATTAAGTAATTATAAATAGTGAAAATATCAATATGGACACAATTGTTAAGTAAATAAGTAACTTGACCAATTCCATGTAAATGTATGCTAGTAGCTATCACTTTTTTATGAGGTTGTTTTTGTGATAATGTTCTATTGACAAACATGAGTTAATATTAATATTATGCCTCTTATCTCTCTTTCTCAATCCTCCCATCTGTTCCTCCTCAGTGTCCTCCTCTCCTCCCAGCCCCGTTAACGTCGTCTTCTCCTCAGTGAATCTCAGGAATGTTCTGCACTGGTCTCCAGGAAACGGCACATCTGAGGACACACTCTTCACTGTGCAGTATGCCATGTAAGTTTCATCACACGCTATATTTGACTTCACCTGGATAAAGCAGGAAAACAATGTTTGTGTGTCAGCTTTCTTCTGCAAGTCTCAAGAGACTGTACAGACAAGAAGAAGCCATGAAAAGACATATGAGCAGACAAAAAAGAAAAGTGTAATCTGACTAAACAAACAGCCTATAAAACCTCAAGTTCCTTGCTCGAGGTGACACTGAACAAGCTGGCAGTGATTATCCCATGCTCTTTATCTGTGTGGACCTATGCACTGTCTCTCCCAGCTACGGGGACATTGTGGAGGGAAGTAAAAGAAGACAGGTGAACTGGAGGCCTGTGTCGCAGTGTACGGACATAGTGCGGAGCTGGTGTGACCTGAGCAATGAGACGTGGGATCAGGAGCAAGGATACCACGCCAGAGTCCATGCTTTGGGCAGCAGAGCATCTTCCAAATGGGTCGTGACACTGAGGAGATTTGATCCAAAGTTGGACAGTGAGTCAAAGCATCATTCAAACCGTTTGTTTGAATATTTGAAATGTACCCAAACTAAATATATATGTCCACCCATGCAGCTACTCTGGGTCCACCACTGGTTTCTGTGGAAATAGAGGGCAATAAGGCCATCATCACTCTGAAAGGACCAATGAGATATCAACCTAACAACCACACCCCAGTGATTTCTATGGCAACAATATACTCCCAGATGAGTTACAAACTCTCCATCCACAATGTCCAGCGCAACCAGACAGTGAGTCAAATCTTCCCCCCACCCTCCTGGCATAGACAGGGGGTCAAATCAAGCAGTCGCAAAAGTTCTTGAACCTGTTATAGACTAACCTGTTGTCTGTGTGTGTGTGTGTGTGTGTGTGTGTGTGCGTGTGTGTGTGTGTGTATTTGTAGCTTTATTTCCCAGTGCAGTCTCATCTGTACAAACATCAAGTGATGCATCAAACAGAGTACTGCTTCTCTGCCAAGACCAGATTGCTCTCCATACCGATGCAGTGTCAGTCCTCAGCCTGGCATTGCATCACCACGCCTCAAGGTACAACCACAGTCCTTGAGTGCGACAAAGGGAATTTTATACTCTCTGTTCGACTGGTTGAAAGGAATGTGACGGAACATCATACTGAAGAGATAGAGGCATGGATGATTGTTCCTGCACTGTTGGTATCTCGCCAAGGTCATGTTAGGTCATGTTTGCACCAAAACTACTGGACAGATTCCCACGATATTTGGAGGAAGGATGTAGTCTGGTTAAGGAAAGGAGACATTCTCTGCAGCGTTTCCCACAGAATTAATTAAATCTATGTTGAAAGTGTGGGTGCACATTGGTTTCATGCGCAGCAGACTCAGAGTGAGATTACACAGACTATAGAGTTTAAAGTTCTCGTGAAAGAGAAAGAAGTGCATTGTCTTCCACTTACTGGTAGGCGCACCACTGCTGCTGAAACTATGAGGCCTGACTGTCACGGATGGTAAAACCTTTATGGACGATAGAGCAGGCGTGTGAGCGTGCACATGGTAAATAGCTGCACAGCTTAACAATACAGCAACAGAGCGTACACCAAGTTCGAGATCTCCCATGTTCTTGTACAAAAAAAATGTTTTGGTACATTATAAAACAGTGGCAGGAGAATCAGAATATGGTGGGCTGAAGAACACTGCTTTGGCGTGGAGAGACAGGACATTACAGGACAGCATTAGCGGAGGTATCCTCTCTCAGAGCACCTTTTTAGTGTATGAGTTTGGACAATTCCAAAATGTCAATCAAGATAAATATGTCTTTAGTTAGAAAATATTGCATTGTGCACTTTCCACAGTGAGTCCTGGTATTTTTTTGAAGCTGTTCATATGATATTTTCTACATTTACACACATGCATGCATTTATGTGACACGTTCCTGCTTCCTGTCTCCCTCCAGACCCTGTGACTGTCCATCTGCTGAGGGTGATTTGGGGTATCGTTGTTCCATCTTTGTGCATTTGTGTGCTAATGGTGGTTGGCTACTTCCTTCATAGCTACCTGATGGGGAAAGGACAGAAGAAACCAGATACACTGGTAATGCAAGAACCACACATGCAATGACAAAACGAAAACAACTCCAGGAATTACTATAAAACTTAATGGATGGATGCATGTTTTTATTTCTTAATCTAAGATAGGCCATTTTTCTACATTTCTACAAGCTTTTTGTAAACACCATGTTCCTTCTCTTTCACCCTTCAGAAAACATTATCTTTTCACCCTCCACCGACTTTGCCTCCTGAGAGTGCCAACCTCCTTGTCATCAGTGTCATCAAATATGAGTCAGACACGGACAGCGCCATATCAGACACAGCACGCTACAAGAAGAAGATGGCAGATCTACCAGTAAGTTACTCCCTCCAGAGGCCCGAAGCACCGCTGGAGCCCGATGATCTTTCGGTCGACTATGGATTTGTTGGGATGGCTCCTCAAATCAAATTCGACGGAGAAGAGGAAGCTGGAGATCAGAGGCAGGACAGAGATGATGGGAATAATCTGCTCACTGCACACCAGATATGCACACCAGGAGAAAGTCATGATGAGAAAGAGTGGAGAGTTGAGGATGGTCACTCTGCTGGAGTGGAGTCCTACCTTTCACAAACACACATACCGACACACTCGCAGACACATGCGCATACAGAGATGAGCACACTAGTACAGGCGCGGGCTTGGTCACAGTCGAAATGCCTTTTACTGTCCCAAATTCAGGGATCCTTACTGTCTGATCAGGGAGGAACTTACGAAGACAAAGAGTGTCCAGGTTCATTTGTGAATAAAACTCCACAAACCGGTCTCCTCCATGTTCCTTTAAATCCACAAACAAGGATGAAGTTAGAAACTGGCGAGAAGAAAGAAGAAAAAGCCAGAGTGAGAACAAATGGAAAGATAGACGGAGCTGCAGAGGAAGGTAGTCAGGGCGAGACAGTGGCCCTTCTTTCTGCTTATGCATCCCAGAACATGGTACATGTGCCCATCTCCCTCACCGACCAATCAGATTTCTTACCAAATGAATATGGTTTTTTGAGTGTTTCTACAGCTCACAATATAGTGGAAGATGAGGAGGAGGAGGAGGAGGAAGAGGAGGAGGAGGAGGGAAATATTTGTATTAAATGGGACCCTAAAACCAGGAAATTTGTGTTTCCAGAGGTGGCGTCGGGTGGGTTGATGTGGGCGGAGGAAGAGAGTGAGAACAGGATGGGGGGAGAGGAGGCATACGTAGCAAAGGGGGAGCTGAAGTTGGAGAATGTGTTTATCAGACAAGCGTCTGAAGAAGAGGCAGAGGCGCTGAGAGAGGAGGAGAGGGGTGGGGAATCAGGGCGGGATGGGGCGGATGGAGTTTTGTCCAAATGGAACTTGGTAATCTCAATGGATCAGTAGATGACATTCATCACTATATTTACCTCGTTGTTACAAAAAACCATCTTCTGCTGCATGTATCCAGTTAAATTTAGTATGATAGAAATATAAATCATGAAAATATGATAATACAAAACCACCACCTATCACTTTTACTAAGAATACAAATAATAATATTAATATTTTAGGAGCATTTAGTGTTGTGGTAAAGTTACTTTTATATCTCTTGATGTCATGTTTATGAACTATAGTTTATTGATTAATGAGTCACACTAATCAATGTTAATATGAAGTAACCTCACTGTGATCACCTCGATTTTGAGCAAACTTGTATTTTTATTTGTATAATTGATCATCCATTATTTGTAGTTGCATTTGTCAGTCTTTTTCCAATCAAAATTCTGTGTAGTGTAAATGTAAACCATGTTCACCGTGATCACCACTTTAGATAAAGATGGACGACCTGTCGTCACTCCCCCCTGATCGGATGACCGAGCGTCGGTATCTAGGTCACATGCTAAACCAATCTCAACATTTCAGCATATTTATAGCATCAAATATAAAACTAAAACCAAACTTACCATAAAAATTAGCACTTAAAAAACATCAGTGTGATAAGAACTACCTGAAATGACTGAAAACACATTTGAGAACAATCCGATTGAGGTGCACTTTGACTTTTCAGTTTGGTTCTTGTCCTATTCATTAACATGGAAGAGGTGGGGTTGATATACTGCAGCCAGCCAACTGGGGCCATTCAAAATGTTTGGGCATGTCGTCCATCATTATACAAAGTATATGATCACCACTGCATCAGATTTCAACCAAACAAAGCACTAATCCATGTTCTGGGCTGGTGTCATGTTTCTCCAACACCAAAATACCTGAAGCAAAAGAACCCTAGAAACTGAAGTGTTTTCTTTTACTTTAAATCTTTCTTGTGTGTGACCACGGTTTAACACTGACAAGCAGGAGTATAGTTGTGGGTAGTTCAGCATTAGTCTGTCCCTGGTTTAGTTTCAGGTTACGCACTTAAAGCGTTCTTGATGAATCACCTTATTTGCAAGCTGGTGGTATACTGGGCTGAATTATTATTATGTATTTTGTTACTTTTTGAAGGAAATGCTGATGTTGAAGTTTTGTCTTTGTTATTATTGTGTTGATGTCCATTGATGAAGATATATAGCACTTTTTTCTAATGTCGGATTTATATGAATATGAAACTGCCTGACCCAGAGCATGTGACAATATTTTCTGCTCTGGAAAAAGGGAAAGTCAGTCAATATTTGTTTGCTACATTAGCTTTGGTTTCTTCTCTTAACATATCATCCACATAAGAAATCAATTTTTATATTTTATACTCTCACATTGACATCTTACTGATTTCATTATTTGCTTCTGTCACTTCTGCATTCACCATAGTCATAGGCTTATGATGATACTTAAAAGTATGTATTGGTTAAAGTACAGTGTATACTTATACTCCACTATTGTACCTGTTATTCAGATGTTATGTTAATCATTGTGGGCTTTTGTTAATGCTGTTACTCTTCCTTCTGCACTTTGCACCTCTGCCTAAATGAAGTTCTAACCACTCAAAGTGAAAATGATACATGAAGGATGTTTAAACATTGAAGCTGAACTCTAACCATATCCACTCAGCAATTGTCTGTGTCAAACATTTGTACTGTAAAACCTTTTCTTGTAAAGTGGTGACCTACCAGTTGACAGAAAGGAGGAAGTCGAAGGCAACTCAGGTTATCTACAATGTGATGGTTAGTATGATGCCGTGCATTAAGTCGTATCTGTACCATTTCTTAAAATGGCTCTACTCTGGGAAGTTAATCAGTGATGTTTTTGTCATGATTCTGTATGTTGTTCATCAAATATTTTGTCAATTTAAATGAAATAATAATAAAGTGAACTTGTTCCATATTCTCTATTTTGTTGTGTTTTTAATGTGAAGGACAGTTATTTTTTTGACTAGTATTCCTGCTCTCACTTAAAGTTTGTCTCATGGCTTTTGTGTTGTCTCAGGATAAGTCCACAGTTTTGAAATTAAGGAAATGTGCTGTCAGCCATGACTGACACTGTTCTGAACTAACTTTTATTCCTGATACCAGCCTCAAAAGCTTGAAACAACTGATTAAATAGAGATATCTGCTGGTCAAATGGTAATCACAGTAAATTTTGCTGTAAAAGCAAAGACAGAACTATTTCTGTCATTGTTTTGTTACTGCTATATAGACACAAAAATAAAAAAAGAAACAATTTCAGAACCTTATCTAATTTATATTATTGTGATGTAGCCTGTGATTATTATAATGTGAAACTATGTACAGTACAACACACATTTAGAGACAAATGCCACGTTGGTTCATTTGAAAAATAATCTTGTCAATTAAAGAAAAACATATTTTTCCGATAAAAAAGAAAATGATCTTTTTAATACTATAAATAAAAAAACAGCAGAATTGAAAACAGAAAATTGTCTCACATTGAAAAATGTTTTTCTCATGAAAACAGAATTATTTTGTTAATTCAGGAGAACAAAGCAGAAAATTACATTATATGTGCATGAATGCAATATGCTTCTGTCATATTACTGTCCAACTTTGCTAAATACAAATCTTACAAGCAATGTTGTTTCCAATAAATAACAGAGTTCAGGACTGAGACTTGTTAACGTGCAAAGGTAAGAAAACCAAAACATAATAATAATAAAAGGATTTGAAGACATATTCAATACCTGTTTGGGGTCCAGTCAAAAGATACAATCAATATATGTTCATAACAGAGTGTGGCTTTTTTAGAATTTACTCAATTTGTTAAATTATTAAAATGTGTCCACAAGAGAGAGGTTCTCATGTTTCACCTCTAGGTGGCGGGCTGTCATTCGCACGTCCCTCCCTCCTCATCCATCATGGCGTCCTCCGGCTCGGCTTCATCACCTCCTCCTCCCTCCATCACCGGGGCGGGACCGCGGCGCGGGTCGCGCTCGCTGCCAGGCGTTGGGCACTTCCGGCGGGCTCGGGTTTCCTTCGCCTCGGTATTTAAATGGAGCTGCAGGACATCAGCTGCTGTCCCATTCAGAGCCGAGCCGTGACAGACCGGGACAGAAAATAACCTGCAGCGCTAAAAACACAAAAATCAAAACATCTCCCTGTGAATATTGTATCTTTGAGAGGAGAACCAGAGAGTGGTTGCGGGGGTTTTGTTGCGGGAGCAGCGGAACAATAACCGGGGCTGTGACAGCAGCTCGGTGCGTCGTGTTGGGGGGGGGGATTGCTCCGCCGGATCCTCCTGGACCGAACCGAGCTGCGGTGACGTGATGTCGAGCACGACAGCAAGGATTTCGGGTTTTATTTGATTTGTCTGTGTTTATTTACTGAGAGACAGATAAACAAGCTGAAGGTGGTGTTGCTGTGGCCCAGCAGGATAAAGTGGCCTGGACTACAGAGGACTGATGGACTGGATGATGAGAGACAGCATTTGAAGGGTCAGGTTTAAATTCTAATACATTTTTTTATTATGGACAAAAGCTGATGCTGAATGTTATATCAGGTCCAACATTTAGAATAGCAGGCCTCACACTGTTATTTCTTCTATAATATTTCTGCATTTTTTTAGATTTGTGCATTTTTTTTCCCCCAAATACAGATTTTTAAAAGAAAATATTGGAGCTTTACTTTGTCTTATATGTGAAGACAAAATCAAGACCAACATCCAATCGCTTAAAGACTCAACAAATCTATCACCAGCATCTGTGGCTTCACTGGACCAACACCTGCAGCCATGTTCAGCTGGCTTGGGACAGACGACAGGAGGAAGGAGCCGGAGGTGTTTCAGACGGTCAGCGAGGGCCTGAAGAAGCTCTACAAAACCAAGCTCCTGCCGCTGGAGGAGAGCTACAAGTTCCACGAGTTCCACTCCCCGGCCCTGGAGGATGCTGACTTCGACAACAAGCCCATGGTCTTACTGGTGGGACAGTACTCCACCGGCAAGACGAGCTTCATACGGTGAGAACGCAGCACAGGGTTCATGTGGAAAACAGAGGGGGGGATCACACACACACACACACACACACAGAAACCCACTGATAGAAAGGGAGAGGCTGACACACCCAGACTGACTGTTCCCTCTCTCAGAGTCAGCAGTGGAGCAGTTTGACAGCAGGGTGGAAGAGGAGGTGGTCTTTCAATAAAGTTTATTTAAAGAAGATAGAACTGTAATAGAAAAGAGGAAAAACACACACACACCCACACACACACACACACAGAGGGACCCAGGAAGTTGTGTTGCCAGTATTATGAGTTTGTTGTTGTAGCTTGAACGTAGGTCTGGGAGATAAACATTTTCATGTCAGTCGATATCTATCATCGATTATTACAAATGGTACATAATTTTTAATAATAAGTGTCAAGACAGATTTGTGCTCTTAATTGAAAGTTGTGTTTTTAAACTCTTCTTTATAGACGGATAACGACAACACAAATCTGAGGTAGACCACTTATATACCTCCCTGTGCTGGAACAATGCACTATATACTAGTATATATCAGACCTTTTTTATATTGCTAATAATGAGGATTATATTGTGATAGTAACTGATATTGTTTGGTTGCCCAGCCATACTTATACAGTAGTTTCCTGTAGCTGCTGCACCCATTTGAAGTTATTCTGCATACTGGTGCCAAATACACGTTTAACTTGACATAAATTCAGATTAGTTAAACCCCCTTCAACTGTAACTTAAGTTATCTCTACTTTTATACTCAGAAGTCTGTCAGAGCTGGGGGATATTAGCAGCTGTGTGATGGACCTCTTTTGACTGCTGCTGACATCTTGGTTTTCAGACACACACACACGCACGCACGCATGCACGCACACACACACACACACGCTTACAGAGCCTTGTCAGTAATTTGTTGAAAGCTACAGAGAGGATGCTGTTAGTGACTTCCTGCCATAAGACAGAACAGTGCAGACATCCCTGCTCGCTCTCTTCCTCCTCTGCTGCTGTCTCTGATTCTCACTGATCGTCTCTCTCCTCTTTTTTTTTTACTCTTTCCCTTATAACAACACCCACACACTCAGCAGCCTGACTCCTCGCCACTGACATTGTAGCAGTAGGATGAGGAATGTAGAAATTGCTGAGTAACCCTGGGTCAGGGCTGCGACAGTGGTTTCATATCGCAGGGTCCCACTGTGGAACAGGGAACAGCGCAGGTCTCAAGGATGAATCTGAATAATCTGCCAGCTTCTGCCAGCCTCACCTAAACTACAAGGGAGTGTTTGTGCTTTGTTCATGTGCCTTTATAGTCACCGTTATGCTCACTTCTCTCCAAATAGACCAAATAGGGTTTGTGCAGAAATTCCATTAATAATAATGATAATAAAAACCAATAATGAATTCAAAATAAAGATAAAATGCATTAAAAATCACACCGGTGTGAAAGCTTTTTTAAAGAAGAACATATAAAAGGGATTTAAAAGCAGTAACAGATGCTGCATGGCTAATCTCAGGTTGTTAATCCTCCCAGAGTTTTGGGACCTGTTCTGCAGAAGCCCCATAGTTTCTATTCTTAGTCACCAATCAGGCTCCAGGAACTACCAGAAGTCCACGATCAGCTGATCGAAGGTGGCACCCTGGCTCATGGAGAGTTAGTAAGTCCTTGATATACACACAGGGCTTAGATGTGCAAAGCCTTAAAAGTCCTCAGTAAAATCTTAAAATCTATGCAGAGACAAACAGGAAGCCAATGCAGCGATGGCATAATCCACGTCATATGCTTTTGGACCAGTTGAATGTGATGCGAGTTTGAGGAGGACAGAGGCATGAACAACCCTATGTTAATCCTACAGGCTTTTAATAATGAGGCAAGACGGCTCCCAAATGGTGGTGCCGAAGCATTTCGAACTCCTCCTCCATGTTGGCAGATGGAACGTGGACTTAAAAGTCAAAGTAAATGTCATATACATTATTCTGTGTTAATTTTCCACTAAGTTTGGTTTTAATTAGTTATTTGATGCGATAAAAACAGGGTGAGACCGAAAGATTTAACCTTTGATGGCATTGACATATCAGACTGACTGAATTTCCGACTGTTTTTGAACGTAAATAATATCTGTCTAAAATGTAGAGATCAAATAGATGGAGAGACAAGAGATACTCATAGCGGTTAGTCAGAGGGCAGAAATTTGAGCCTCTCCTTTTCTTGCCATGAAATTATTGTTTGTTTTTTCAAATTTTGTCCCAAGATTTCCTTCAAGGTCACTGGACACATTTGTTGGGTGCAGTAGCGATGTCATAAAAGTCAAGCTGCCGTGTTGACAAATGTTTTCTCGTCGTCTTCTCTAGCCGCAGGTCGATTTGTGTGGGGCTTTGATGCTTTAAAGTTCATTAACTGGGACTTTTAAGGCTGTTGGAGAAGTCTGTGCCTGGAAACTTTCAGTTTTATCTTCAATGGGCAGGAAGAAATGTGATTAATGAATGTGCGCTCACACATATGTGGATTGCAAACATGCACACACACACACACACACACACACACACACACACACACACACACACACACACACACACAGACACACAGACACACAAATGTTTCCTCTATCAAACATGCAACCTGGTAGATGGTAGCCTCCCCACAGACAGACAAACAGGAGGACTACACGGACATGTGTGCAGAGAGAAGTCTCTACCAGGCACTGCTGGCTCCTCCACAAGGTGTATATATATATAAATGTGTGTTTGTGGAGAAGCCGTACGAGAAGCCCATCTTTACATCTGGTTGCAGTTACAATACGTAAACATCCAACGCTTAAAATTTATGATCCTTTTAGCTGTAAATCTCTTATTTTTATGACCCGTGTTCGCAGAGTCGACAGAAACACACTAATCTTCATTTCGAACATGTGTATGGTAATCTTTGAATTAACAGCAGAGGATTCAGCTTTTCAACCTAAAAAAAATATATATGGGATGTAACTCAGTCATGTTGCCATGGCGATAGTTACAGATGAGGTGAAACGTATGCATCGGTTGCAAACTGTTTTCACGATGAAAAATGTGTATTTTGAGAGACGTAATGTGAGTCTCCCCGAAGAATGTGCTCAGTTAAAAGCAAACGAAAATCTACATCTGATTCTGTCCTCTTCCATGTTTTCACCCCGTCAGCTGTTCTTGATCACCAGTGAGGAAACACGCCTGTGGCAAGGTATTATCCTCGACCATTTGTCTTGTCAGAAAAGGAAGAGCTGAACCACATTCCTCTTTTTGCGTCCAAGGTTTGAGATCATGCTGCAGAATATTAGATACATATATTCACTTTTTGCAGTTCATGAGTTTACATCGGAACATATGCAGTTTCCTGTCGGTTCAGGAGCCCATCACTTAGATTAAGGAGCTGATTGAAGGAAAAATATATTTCCTATGTCCTCTCCCTTTGTCTCATCTGATCACAAAACTCTCCTTCTGTGGGACTTTTTCTTTGTTTGGCAACAAACCTACTTCTGCTTATTCAGGAGCCAGTGCATGGCAGCTGTCCAGCCTGCGATGATGTAAAACGCCCTAATCTTCTAATTCAAGGCAGACTACGTTTCTGCTGATTTTTCAATCACATCTTACCATCTGTATCAATTTCCTTTCAACATGATCACTGTGAAAAGGCACACAGGGCTTCTTTTAAATAAGAGGCTGCAGATGAAGCGCACATCTGTCCTGCTGCCTACAGATGAATGCAGGGATTCAGTAGTAATATGAAGGATGGTAAATGAACTGTATTTATTTAGAAATTCCTTAAACCCTTTCTGTCATACACTGTCAAATATGGGGTTCAGTATCTTGCCCAAGGATAATTTGGAATGCAGACTTGAGGAGCAGGGGATTGAACTACTGACCCTTTGCTTCATGGACGACAAATACACTTACAATTGCCCCTTGCTAACTTTGGTAATCGGTGGATTGAGAAATGATAAACTTTTAAAGTGTTTTATTCTGTGTTTTGACAGCCTCATTTCTTGTATTGTACTGTATTTAAAAATTGAAGGAGACTTTGGGCCCAGAAAGTCAAGCCACTGTGGATGGGCCTGAAACCTGTGCTCTTGTGGATGTGGAGTGTCCTTCAGCTCTTGATCAGATCATGGTGACCTCTGGTGTAACAAACTAAGATGTTGCTGTCCAAAATTCCAAACTCAAGGCTTTAAAAATACATTTCACAAATCGTTTGCTTCTTGTTTATAATATAGTTTGATGGTCAGACACATACCAAAGCTTGTCATCCACACTACAGTTCAAAGTCTCAGGCAGCGTCTTTCAAAGTGATTGCTCCTTAGGTTTTATCTTACACTGTGTACAGATTATCAAAACCATCTCATCTCTTGTCTTGTTCGGTTTTACACCACATCTTATGTCCCCATCTCGCCCCCAGCTACCTGTTGGAGCAGGATTTTCCTGGAATGCGGATCGGCCCTGAACCCACCACGGATTCCTTCATCGCGGTGATGCACGGCGACACCGAAGGCGTCATTCCCGGAAACGCTTTGGTGGTTGACCCCAAGAAGCCCTTCAGAAAGCTCAACGCGTTTGGGAACGCATTCCTCAACAGGTAGAGGTGTACACATACACACACATTCTGAATTGGTAGTTAGGATACACTGATGGTAGATGTTGTCAGATATGTTTTTGAGGTGTGTGTTTATACCAGGGTAATGTATATATGATATATATATAGTATAGGAAAGACTGAGGAAGAGACTGGTGAAGAAAGAGAGAGTGAGAGTGACAATCCACACCACTGCTCTACATTCCTATGTGATTGAATTTCCCTCTGCTCACTGGTCAGGCTTCCCTCTGTGTGTGTGAGTGTGAGTGTGAGTGTGAGTGTGTGTTCGTGTGAGAGAGAGAGAGAAAGAGAGGGAGAGGTGCTCATCTTTGCAGAGTCATCCTTCAGGAAAAAGGGAAACTGCCTAAAACTCTTTACTCTTGCGGTAGAGTCCTCACTGTGAGGGCCCACCACTGCTGAAAGGAAACAGCGCTGACTGTCAGTGGGGATTAGTGCGTGGGGGGGATTCACAGTGAGGACGGCCGCTAACCTGTTGGTATTTATTCAGCTGGACAGAGAAAGAGAGGGAGAGATGGAGGAGAGGGAGATAAGGGAAAGTTAGAGGTCTGGGGTGCATGATGTTTGTTTTTAAAAGGATTTACACTTCTGTCCTGATACTTTAATGTCTCCTCTCCTCTCCTCTTGTGTGTGTGTGTGTGTGTGTGTGTGTGTGTGTGTAGGTTTGTGTGTGCCCAGCTGCCTAACCCAGTGCTGGAAAGCATCAGTGTGATCGACACACCAGGGATTCTGTCTGGAGAGAAACAGAGAATCAGTCGAGGTAACACACCACACTCGAGGCTAACACTTTTATCTTCCACTGTTTATGTTAGTGTGTGTGTCTGTGTGTGTGTGTGTGTGTGTGTGTGTGTGTTTGTCGGTGTCCATTCGCTGGACCCATTCAGCTGCAGTCCCCTTGTCCCACTGATCTCTGAACAACAATGTCAGCATTTCTTTTGGACACACGCGTGCATGTGTTTATTTTAGCTTGTAGCTATCAGGAGGATTATGCCTCATTCATTTCAAAGAACAGGAAGCAGCAACAAAAAGATGAGCTTCGAATGTGCTCTCTGTCTCTCACACACACACACACACACACACATTCATATGCATAATGCACACAATGTGTAGGTTTGACATTGTGTTGAATTTAAAACAGGAAAAACTCAGTGTACAAGTACTTTTACACATTCGAATAATTAGAAAATGTCAGCATAGAGAACCACAGATTAATTCAGGTTACAGTTTAATTCAAATAATAAATTCAAAGTATTTGTGCATGTTTTAACTTTAACTTTTAACTATTTTCTTGATTCAGCCCATCTATATACAGAAAAAAACATTTATCTTATTCGCTTATCCATTGGTGCTTATCTCTTTAAACCCAGGTAGGATTATGGTTGTTTTCTGTTGTCACTTGAATGTGGTTTTTCATTTTACTTAGCATACATAGTAAACTCGACAGAGAGAGAGAGAGAGAGAGAGAGGACAGTGGGAAGAGAAGTTTAGGTGTGAAAGGATCACGAGAAACGTTCCCAGCTCTCTTACAGGTTGATGTGTGTCCGGCATGGCTGGGATTCCCAGAGCTGAAAGCTGGTATCACCATACCAACGACGAACATCAACAAAAGAGCTGGGATAATTAAAGACGACTGTAATTTAGTCTTTTAACATTCATCCCATTCCTCTGTCCATTCCATCCTTTTGTTTGTTCTCTCTTAAAGGAGACATATTATGCTTGTCCATTTTTATTTTCCTTAATGGTGGTATGTGTATGTCAATGTTTTGCAAAGTTAAAAAAGCCTTAAGTCTGGTAAAGGGAGCTCCTCTCCCCCACAGATAACACTGCTCCTAAACGCCTCGTCAGTACTTCTGTATGTCACATGACATAATGCACGCATAATGGTTAGTCTAGCACGCCCCCAACAAAGTAAGGTCAAATGAGAGTAGAGAGCAACATTTCCTGCACACCCTGGAAAGCGGTTGACCAATCACAAGAGAGTAGGCCAACTGGCCAATCAGATCAGACTGGGCCTCATTGGAAAGGCAGGCCTTAAAGAGACAGGATTTGAATCCAAGTGTTTCAGACAGAGGCTGAAAAGAGGAGCTACAGCAATTGACTGTGATGAAAGTGTTGTTTTCTGAACATTAAAGCATAAAAACCTTTTCGGGTATTAACCCAAATTAAAATTAGTTTTATAGAATATGACTGTAAAATGTCTCATTTTAAATTAACATTGGTGATTTTGCCTCAGTCTTTTTTTTTCTGCCAAAAGAGCCCAGACTTTTACTTTCTTTTTACTTTCATCATATGTGGATATTTGTAATATTAACTATTATCACAGTACATCTATCAACAGTTACTCCTCACAGTATCTCAAAAAAAGTTAATACGATAATGAGATTTAAAAAGAATGTTGTTATTTAACTGATTTGTAAGCTGGCGTGCTAGCATAACATTAGTTCTGTTATATCAATATCAAATAACAGGATCAGTGGATTAGCACTGGTGCAATCAGAGCAAATGCTGGTGAAAGAATCTGATATTAATGTCATTCATATGCACAACATTATAAAGAGAGTATCTTGAATTTCAGGGTGTTGACACGATGAAACATGCAAGCACACACACATGCAGTTTCAAAGGCTAAATAAAAACAAGGAACAAACTGTGGTCTCTGGGTTCAGTGCATTACCTCATACTAGGGTTGGGTCTTTTGTGGATTTTCCTCAGAACTGGAGCTTGGAAACATTTTAGGCACAAGAACATAAATTGTTATCTGCAGCTTTTCTGTGGAGAAACAAGAAAGAAATGCTGCATCAGCACCAACAGAATGTCTCTATTATTTTCCACGAGGTCTCAGTACAAGGGTTCGTTAAAACCTTGTTGTCAAACCAAATAAACTTCATGTCGAGGTGTGGCCTGAACATTATCTGTTTAGATGTAACAAAAAATACAGGCTAATACTTAATGTCCACTGAGTCAGCACAGATGTTTTCTCTGAGGACAAAGTCTGTGTGTGGTCAAGTTGTTTTGTGTGTATGTTAATTTTCTTCATTCTTTTTCATCCACTTGTTTAGTGCATGAATGTTTTCATGTTTTATTTGTGTGTATGAATGTTGTGTCTCATTCTTTGGTTTTTAACTCGTATCTTAATTTGTGTGTGTGTGTCTCTAGATGAAGAGTTGTCAGGCTATAGCCTCCTACATAGATGCCCTTATGGAGGTATTGTAGAAAATGAATCGGCACCAACCAACTGCAAAAAGCCTGAATATAATGATATCTTGGCTTTAAAGAATTTGTGGACTGTTGCATGTTCTTCCTCAGACTCTTTCTCATATGGTTTGGAAAAAAAACACACAAAAAACCCCCAAATTATATATATTTGATATATTAGTCCAATTAATCACATACTGCTGTGAAGGAAACTGACTGATGGATCAATGTAAGAGAATTTCTCTAGTGGGCACGTTGATGATGTTTTTAACTCATGATGGAAGCAAAACACAGAAAAGACAAAAATGAAAACCAATATATCTGCAATAATAAAAAGGTGCCACACATGTAGAAGTAGTTTCAACTTGGAAAGAAGAGATTTGAGAGCTTTCCACACCAGGATTTCTACATCAGGTCGTGCCCCCTGCATGCTCTACCAAAGCACCATCACATTTTCCTGATGTTGGCCCAGGCCTAACTCCAGCTGCATTCTTCCTATATGAAAGTGTCTGAAAACTTTAGAGAAAGATAATTTCACAACCAGACATTCTCGGGGGGAGATGCTCTCTTTCTACAAGATCTTTCTAAATTGAAGATAGGTAGGAATATTCAAAAGCCCAAAAATAACTCAAGTGAAACCTATACCACATTTTAGCCCCTCTCTGATAATACTTCAAAACTATCCTGAGATTTATTTCGTTACTATATGATATCCAGTGAAATGAGCATTGCAGCCTTTCAGAGATTAATCTTGTTTTCGAACCAAACCATATGAACAGTGCTCTTTGTGAAGAACAAACCACTTAAATTCTCTCTTAACTCTCCGCTCCAGCAGCAGCAGGCCTCTGTCTCCTCTCGGCTGTGCTCACACAGGAACAAAAAGAAACATATTTCCATGTTTCACATGCTTATTGTTACCATTGCTTAACTCCTGCTCACGTCATATGAGGGGACTTTTGAATTATCAACATCAATTGGTCCTGGAAGATGACCATTTCCATTCATTTCTAGAATCTCAGCAATCTTAGAAGTTTTGTTTAACAATCATGAGCCATTTTAGAAAGACTCTTCGTCCTTGAGAGAAAGTGATTCCTCTGCTTGGAGGAGCAGCTGTGCAGCTACAGTACGGGGATTTTTACCACAGCTGGGTCTGTACAGTGAGATTAGTGTATCAGTCCAAGTCGGAATCAAATATTTGTAAAGTGATAACTTGATCGATTTTGTAGAGTGAAGGTAGAAACAAACATAGCTTCTCAGAAAACCCTGTATTAACATGAAACTACTACCAACTGACAGCAAATGCCTGCTAGTTGCTCTCCAGTAATCTCAACTGTAACAGGTTTATACCGCTGACTCTGCATCGTCTCTGAAGTGTCCTTCAGTGTGGGTTGTAAATTTCAGCTCTCTAATCCTTTAGTTCTGCTCTTTTGTTCTTTGTTCTCCTCTCATATCCTGTGGAATTCCTCCAGGTAAGAGTCCTTGAGCGAGACAGAATGTCACAAGAGTCAGTGATGGCATCCTGCCGACAGACTCAGTCACTGACTCATTTATTTAAAATGTTCATATCTGCAGGCGTGAACTCATTCAGTCATCCTTGTTATAACTGCATTTTCACTTTCACTCTTCACATAAATTATTCTAAAGACTGAGGAGTCCTCTTATTGAGTTTGAACCTTGGCTGCACAGTCTTCTATTAGTAAACAGACGTTTCTTGTCTCTCAACATGGTGCAATGTGGGCGTCCCTCCTCTATGACCTGAAGCCTTTCTAAGGCCTTTCTCTTGAGGAGGTTGCAACATCACAGTCCATGCTCACATTTTTTGGATAACAGATGATGTTCATCATCAGTGTAAATACTTGAACTGAAATTGTGGTCTGTTCAAATGCCTCTGGGGACACCAGAATGGGATGAGAGCAAAGAAAAGAGAAAGAGAAACAATCCTTTCTTATCTGCAACATTTATTCTTGTATTTCACACTGTGACTATTGCCCTCCCTCCTCCTCCTCCTCCTCCTTTTCTCAGGGTATGACTTTGCTGCAGTCCTTGAGTGGTTTGCCGAGCGAGTGGACAGGATCATTTTACTGTTTGATGCCCACAAGCTGGACATTTCCGATGAGTTCTCAGAGGTGATAAAGGCCCTGAAGAACCACGAGGACAAGATCAGGTAATCTACGACTGCTCGACGTCCTCGTACCCAAAGCTACACAAAGTAGTCCTGAAGTCTTCCTCACTCAGTGCATACACATAAACCCTAATGAGGATTCATGTCACATTAATGTGAGATGTTCTCTTTGGTTGTTTTTTCGTCAGGGTTGTGCTGAACAAAGCTGACCAGATAGAGACCCAGCAGTTGATGAGAGTCTACGGTGCCCTGATGTGGTCACTAGGGAAAATAGTCAACACCCCTGAGGTATAGTAAACATCAAAAACCCATTTTTTAAAGTGGAAACTGTTGCATCATCCATTGATTTCATTTCTGAGAAGAAACTTGAAAGTCTTTTTTCCCCAAACTTCTGTAGCACAGGTGACAAGTGCAAAGTTAGTGTGACCTATAGTCAGAAAGGTTACATTTTTAGGAAATATGCTCTTCTATATCCTGGAATCTTTCTTTAAACCTCTCTGCCATCTTGTCCGTTATTGTAAAAATGTCAACGCCTAACTGGTTGTCATTAGGTTTGTTTTGGATATAATCATAAATTGTTTATAAAGATGACTGTGTCTCCACTTCCTCCCATTTTACAAAAATGAAGCCAAAATTTCTTGGATATTCAATTTTGGACTTTTTCCTTTGATAAAAAAACTATTACTAACCAATGCACATTATACCCTTGTGTATTTATGGTTATTTCCAAACAAACTGATCAATATGGATTCTTGCCCACTGCCTCAAATTGTCAAAATGTCAAAAATTTGATTCTGATGGCTTGAATGGTCCTTTTATGTCTTTTCTATCGGTTCATTTCCTCTCTGTCACCAACAGGTGATCCGTGTCTACATCGGCTCGTTTTGGTCCCACCCTCTGTTGATCCCTGACAACAGGAAGCTGTTTGAGGCGGAGGAGCAGGACTTATTTAAGGACATTCAGTCTTTACCGAGAAACGCAGCGCTTAGAAAACTCAACGATCTGATCAAGAGAGCAAGACTAGCCAAGGTAAGAAACAGACACACCAACACACTGATGAGAATCTGACTGTGGCACAGTTACAGCTGCAGTAGTTAAAGGTGATTCTGAGACCTGAGATGTAGTTCATGCTGGACCAAAGCTTTTTAAGATTGACGCCTAATTTCTTTGTTCTTTTCATTTTTAACAATGGCCCTCCTGCTGTTATTGGAAAGTGTAATGTTCCGATGTCAGAGCATCCCTCACTCACCCTCTCCATCCTGTCCAGCTGTTAGCCTTGACAGAAAAAGCTTGTTGCTACCAGAGAACCAATAGAACCAGACAAATGGTCTTCCTCTCCTCCTGAGCGAATGATTTCCTTTTTCCTCTCTGGACAGGAAGTCAGGTATGGCGACAGCCCAATGCCTATTGTAGGAAGTGCACATGCACACAACTCAAACACTGGGAGAGATGAGTGCATTTTTCCTGTGTAATAGGGTGTGTGTGTTTTGGGATGAGCGTCAAGGACATAAGGTGGATTCTGGGAAACACACATTTCACAGGAGCAATATAAAAAATGACTTAATGTCCCTTTTGGTTGTTTTTCTGACAGTAGCTGCTGAAATAGCTTGAATGTGATGAATAAATCACTCTCTGTACGCAGGTTCACGCGTACATCATCAGCTCACTGAAGAAAGAGATGCCCTCTGTGTTCGGGAAGGAGAACAAGAAGAAAGAACTGATCGGCAGTCTGGCAGATATCTACAAACGCATTGAAAGAGAGCATCAGATATCCCCTGGAGATTTCCCAAATTTGAAGAAGATGCAGGTAATGAGGAAAGAGTAAAGGATTGCAGATTTATAAATACAGGATTTGATAGATAAGATCAAAACTTGAGTATTTTTTATAAATGTTTTTGTTTTTATTTATTCTTGCAGGACCTACTCCAGTCTCAGGATCTCAACAAATTTCAGCCTCTGAAACCCAAACTCCTTGAGGCGGTCGACGACATGCTATCCAACGACATTGCCGGTCTAATGGTCCTGGTTCGCCAAGAAGAAAACCAACGCCCTAACCCAGTTGTGAAGGGTGGTGCGTTTGATGGCACTCTGGACGGCCCGTTTGGCCACGGGTACGGCGAAGGAGCAGGAGAAGGCATCGACGAGGCCGAATGGGTCGTTGCGCGTGACAAACCGGCTTACGATGAAATTTTCTACACCTTATCTCCCGTCAACGGAAAGGTGACAGGGGCCAACGCCAAGAGGGAGATGGTGAAGTCAAAACTGCCCAACACAGTGTTGGGAAAGATCTGGAAGCTGGCGGATATCGATAAGGACGGGATGCTGGATGATGAGGAGTTTGCGTTGGCCAATCACCTGATAAAAGTGAAACTGGAAGGACATGAGCTGCCTCCAGAGCTGCCTGCACACCTGGTGCCGCCGTCTAAGAGGAAAATAGCAGAGTAAATGTAAGATTATCCCCAACTCCCTGCTCCGAAACCTGTAAGTAGACCTCCACCATTAACCCCATCCCTAGAGAAAAGGATTCCCAATAGAAGAGGATGTTTCCTGTAGCATCACAACAAGAATGAAAAATGAAAAAGTAGACTACAAATTCCAACTCCCAGTCTTCATTGTAGCTTCACCCGCACATCTGCAGTCTTTCCTTTCCTTCAATTCACAAATATTCAAACAAAACATTCAAATTCAAATAGAGTCAAGTTAATGAATTCAAATCGACTGTTGGCACACTGGCTGCAAACCTTTATGCAACGGAAAAATCCACGTTTGTATTTTTTAACACACAATTCAGGATTCAACTTTGTCAACAGTGTGTGAAGAGCTTGATTTAACTGCAACGTTTGTTTGGTGCTTTTACCAGGGGGGAAAAACTGGATCTGGATGAGACTTTAGATCAGTATCTTCTTTTTTTAAATTCAAGCTGAGATCTATGAGTTGTTTGGTTAGAGATGTTAGCACAACTGATACAGTTAATAATTAAAAACACTAATTAAATTCTCAACCATGAAACACTGGAATACAGAAAAATGCAAGTTGGTTGTAAGTACTGGAAGAAAAATGGAGAGAATGTAAAGACAAAAAGAAGAAAGAAGGAAAGTTTCCTTGGAAAAATTATTTTAGGTATAAAATGCAATTAACCAGTGTATCCCCATTGTAATAGTAACTATTATATTATTATTATTATCTGTAATCAGCACAGTAAACTACTACAGAGTCGACTTTCACACGATTACCAAAAACATCTTATATTTTGAGTTCCTGAATTATTTTCGGTCTCCTGAAATTTCTGGCTTTTGTTTAACGGAGACATTTTAAACCGCTACAAAGACTTCCTGTCAAGTGTCTTGAGAATACACACGAACACACACACACACAAACACACACACACACACAAATACTGGAATAGTATTTTGACAGTGACACAGTGGAGCCTTTTGTGTCACACAAAAAGAAAAGGGTCTAAATAAGTTACTAACTCTTTAACATGTAAAATGTAAGGTGCTGATGTTGGCGTGTGGGTGGGGACGCCGTTCATGACATCACCATCATGTATCGGACAGAAGGACTTTGAATGGACGTGTCACAATTAAGGAGGAAAATCTTTCCAAGCGGACGAGAGACTAAAGGACATGGAGCAGTTTGTCTTTTCGAGGATCTTTGAAACGGTTGTGAATGTCACTAACCCGCCTGACCAGACTGTGACTTTAATATGAAACTGTTCTCTGGGTGTTGTTCGGACACATCAGCGCTCTGACGTTCTCTGCTATAATGTGAGGATGATGAATGTTGAATGTTCATGGTTCTGTGTGGGCACATCCTGACTCTTGTATGTATGTATGCATATGAACACCGTGTTGCTATTTGTAATGTATATGTATTGAGTCTTAAACATTACACAGGCTACTGATGATGGGATTATTCCAGTGGGTTATTAACTGAAAACTGATGACTCTGTTGTTGTTCACTAAACTAACTCTTCAGTCCAGAGAGTGAAGACGCAGCTTTCTGCTTATTATCTGATAACAAACACTAATCCGCACATAATTCTCTTTTTTGTTGTTGTAGAATATAATTGGCTTTCTATGTCATGTATTTTAACTGTACACATGTAATACATGTTCCTCACATGTATTACTGCCAGTATATGTATTCATTATAACTGTATATCTCCCCGGGCACAAGATAAAACACTAAACTAATTAAAATTGGACTGTTGGGAAGGAGACATTATTTACTTGTTTTGAGCCTTTAGAATTGATGTATTGAAAATTGATTTCCAGTCATTAATTCCTCTCCCTGTGACGTCCCTGTGCTTTGACTGTGAATTTAATGTACATAGGAAGACTACTGCATTCCATGAGCACAGATTGGAAAATCATCTATCTCATCTTGTGTGCATTATGCATCAGCTCATATTTCACATTCGCGTCAGACGATAAAATATGTGCTTGTTGAATATGGATTCTCCGCAGAGCTCGACTCGCTGGTTTCCGACCCTGATGGATTGCAACGTGAAATCCTGTCTTCTGCTAAATGTCCCCATGTGGAAAAACACTGGCGTTATGTTATTTTATCTGTTTTTAAGATGGCGATGCATTGATTAATCTGTACTTCACTGCTTTCCTGTCGACATAAAGAGTCTAAAATCATAATAAAATTCATTTACTCAACTTACTGTCTCCTCTTATGTCAGAAGCGGTCAAAGTGTTGAATGATAAAAGCAAACGAGCGAGGAAAGGATAAGGACGTAGATGGGGTCTTGTGGAATTGGACAATTTTACTGGAACAAACAACCTTCAACAATAAATAAAAACAATAGAAAGAATTTCATTTTGATCAGTTTGATGATGAGATGATAATCAGAATTACACGTAACAACTAAATACAAAGAACAAACAAAAAAGACTCAATGCATTGTTAAAATATACTAAGGAAAATAAAGTGCATTAAATTGTACAGTAAGAGAAGAACATTTCTTAATGATATTTCTCATGATATTTATCCATATCTTCAGTTTAGTTTAAGAATGTTCTCTGTGTGTGTGTGTGTGTGTGTGTGTGTGTGTGTGTGTGAGTGTGTGTGTGTGGCTGTTTGAGACAGGAAGTAAAAGCATCCTCTTGGCCTGTGACTCAAAGACCCCTTTAAAACATGCACGCACTGAGGGAAGATGCAGCACCCTCTCCTCTCACACAGGAAGTTCTGTTCTGGTCCACCATTTCCTGTCTGTCCTACTTTGACCCTCAAACTCACACAAACACATCCTCCATCATATATTTACGTAAATATTTTTGATATTCGTGATCAGTCTTACAAGAGTCAACTTTATGTTTTCGAGCAATTTCATATATTGTAAAGAATGAAGGACTGAATGTCTCAGCATCATGTGCAGTTTTTAGAGATACAACCATGAGAAACAAAAGTCTAGACAGTTATTAACTCACTCCTTATTTTTGTTTCAGTCATTGAGTAGATGTTCATGATCATTGACGTCTTCGAGCTCATGAGGCAATGAACGAAAAGAAAATCCACAAAAATTTGAAATGTTACAGTGAAAAGAAAACATTCAGCTATTTTAAGTGTAGTTATTTCAGTCTTTCCTGGTGAAACTACACAGAATGATGGAGAGAGCCCAGAAAGAGACCAGAGAGACGGGTGGATAGAAGGTGTGTGTGTGTGTGTGTGTGTGTGTGTGTGTGTGTGTGTGTGTGTGTGTTATAGAGAGAGAGAGAGAGATGAGGGAAAAGGAATTTTAAGTCAGAGACAGCTGAAGCGTTTGTGTTGGTATCTTATCATGTCAGAGGGAAACAGTATATCATGGTCAGTGTATGTATGTGAGTGTGTGTGTGTGTGTGTGTGTGTGTGTGTGTGTGTGTTTGTGTGTGTGTTCAGTGAATGTCTGTGATGGATGTGTATGTTTTTCAGCTGGAGAGGCACGGATGAGGAAGATATACGTCAGGAATAAATGTATCCACCCAGATACCCGAGGGAACGAGTATTTCAGAACAAAGGGTGGGGATGATGTTCTCCCACACGCACCCAATCATACACATACACACTCACACACACATTCTTAACAAATTTAATTTACCACTGTTACCATTTGTTAACAGCAAAATACATACGTGATATGTATATGAAAGGAAAAAAAGAATTCATTTAGGATTCAAAGGTTTTATTTACACAAAATGTATGAATGCAATGAAATTCTTGTTTCCTAATTTATGTCTACCAGGAGCCGTCAATAAATATCTTCATAAAGGAACAAAAGAAATACAAAGATTTATAAGGAGAAAGACACAGATGTGAAACGTTGCATCTTTCCAGAGCCCATGGAGTTCAGGTTGATGTGATCTGTGGCAGGACAGCAGAGATAAGTGGGCAGTCGGGCGTGGAGCTGAGATTTATGATGGATCTGAGGTGGAGGTAAACATGGGATTAGAAAGAGGCCAAGCAAAGGCTGAGGGGGGGGGGGGGGGGGGTGTCTGGAGCTTGTTTTAATACTTTTGAAACAGAAAGACCTGATGAGGACTGGAGCGTGGAGCCAGCGTTGTTTTGCAGACGGGTTTCAGATATGCAGGTGGGCAGGCCCAAACAGACACATGCACTCAGACAGGGAGAAAGATGAACTGGGGACACATGAGGGAGCAGCAGGAAACATGAGGGAGACGCCTGACCATGACATACTGTTGTCATCTGCTTCTCTTCACCTGCCAGCGATGAGCTTCACCAGGAGGTTTTAACTTGTGTGTATAGTTCACGCTATAGTTCACATTCCTCACCAGTTTGATCCCTCACTGGCAAAAGATACCAGTTGCCTGAATCAGGACACGTCCACTGATGACAATCAAAGTGTGTCTGTGTGTGTGTGTGTGTGTGTCAGCTTAAGGGTGGAGTGGTCACAAGGTCGGACGAGGGGTGACACCCTACTGTTAATTGCCCTCTGTCTCCATGGAGACACAAAGTGTGAGGACAGGGCATGATAACACAACAGGACACACATTTAATACAAATTTGACATCAGTCATTTTCATGTTCAGGTGACGTTTCTCATATTTTCACACTAAAATTGTTCTGTCCTATAATATTCACCAGGGCTCGTCTAAAATCCAAACACTGACAGGAGCCGTTACGCCTCGGGCATGAATCTAAAAAGGTGGATAAACTCCTGACTGTGACTGCAGGTCCTGTCGTCAGAGCTGAGATATTCTAAACGAACATAAATAAAGACAACTGACACTTTTAGAAACGGTGTCAGCTCACGTGTTTCTGCCGTGTTTGTATCCTGTGACTGAAGGAAACAATTAGTGGGCCTCTGTGTGTTAAGAGCAACCTCAGGTCCTGGTGCTGGCCATTCCTTGAACCTTTTCCTGGCTTAAACAGAGGCCATGGACGAGGTCAACACACACACACACACACACACACACACACACACACGGGAAACCTTGCATTTACATCATATTTCTTCAGCCCATGACCTAAACATACATGTCCATCATACTTCTTTTGAGACTCCTGCCAAACAAGCCTGACCTTTGACCCTGAGCACAACAATCATCATTGTTTGGAAACAGGAAACAAATCAGGAACATACTTTATACCTTTAAACAAGGAAATCATTCATCCAAAGTGTTAACACGGTTACAGTTGTAAACAAATAAAGTCCATTGTATTAGGTTTTGTATTATTGCAAGAATTTTAAATAGCATATAAATTAATATTTTACCTTTCAAATATTTCATTTTATAATGCTTCTGTATTCTTATTTATTATATATTTGCCTTTGACATTGTTTTAAATGTGATAAAGTTTCAAAGCGTCTGGAAGGACTCAGTTGTGTAACAGCCTGTATGGAGACACTGTATCTCAGGAAAAAGAAAACAACATGACAATATTTCACATTCCTGTTACACAGAGCGATAAGACAACATGCCTGGCTGCTGTGATCCAATGTTTCCTCCATGTGTTACGATTTCCATTTGAATGACCTGCATATACAGGATGTTGCTGTTTGATAAGCTCAGATAAAATGATGGCGTTTGATTTCATTTGCATCAAAACAAGAAGCCACACCTTAGATATTCTACTATTTTTTTCTCGGTATCAGTGACAGATACTATTTACTGCCCAGAACAAATGCTAATTCGAGAAGATGCAGGATGGTTTTAACTCACTCAGGGTGTAAACGAAATCTTTCCTGTGCTGATCCCATTTCTGTAATGATATTAATAATGATTACGTATGAAATGAATTGTGAAGTCCGTCCTCTTCAGTTCATCCTAGGTTCTGTCATTTCCCTGTATGGTGTGTGCACATGCAGGAAGAAAGTTTTCATCATTGTAATGTAAGAATTTTCTATGTTATCAGAGAACATTACGTTCACCAGACCGACTCCGCTGTGGACAGCAGATCTCATTCATCCAGGCGTGGACACTCACTGGTCATTAGTTCAATCCTAACCTGACCACTGTGAGCTCCATATATCATTTCAGTGTGACCACAGTGGAGTTGTAAGGTGGTGTTGCACTCGAATGCATCTAAACGCAGGAATTAGACAGTTCCACATTTGTTGCTGTTGTGGTAAAAAGAGTTTTTTTCTTTTAAAGTTTCACTCCATCCAAAAATCTGTTTCACTTAGAATGGCGTCACTTCATTCCATATATTCAAAAGTTGCACTTTCCACAGCACACTGTAGTTTTCTTTTAATTAGAATTTTCAAATCTATCAAATATACTTTATTGTTCCCATGGGGACATTTTTCTTGGCCCAAAGTGCTACAGCAGCTGCAGAACAGTACATTGTGCAGCAAACAAAAAAAAACAGTAAGGACATACTGTGAAAGACCCAGAATATTAATGCAGAATAAAAGTGAGTTAAATATTACACCTTCCCTAAAAAGACTTAAAAAGATAAAACACTAAAAGGTTAACATGCATAGAAGACGAAAAACTAAAACTGTAATGTACAATGCATGAAAAGTAAATGTACTTTGTTACATCCCACCACTGCTTGAATGTCATTTCACTTCATGCAACCAGATCCATCCTGTCTCCATCAGCACCTGCTTCCCTTTTACAGTCTGACATTTGTAAAATTAGCGCTGCATGTGTCATGTTTTTCACTTTATTGCAGGTGGATCAGTCATCTGAACGAAGCCCAGAGGAAGACTGCATCACTTGATGAGCGAACGTCTGTCATCTGAGCAGGTCAAGGGCCAGGACAAGGAGAGGATGTGCCGAGAGGAGACAGTGGACATTGTTTGAGAAACATTTTCCTCTGTAAGTGACAGACAGGATGTATTCTCAGAAGACACAGAGCTTGTATATAAACACCAGGGTAATTAAAGCTCAGCAATAAATGTGTCAATAAAAAAAAATAAAAAAATGCAACTACACTTGGCATTGGCTTCTCCTCTCTCCTGGTTTGTAGAAAAAAATTACTTTCCATCCTTTGTTTTTTTAAACCCTGTCTAGAAATTCTAGTGATTGTGAAAATGCTGTACATTTTGTACAGTTTTGAAATATCAATTTATGATAAAGGTATAAGGTGTAATATCATTTATGTAAGAAAAGATTTCTATGTTCAGATGAAACTAATCTAACAGATTTTCTGGTGATGTATCATTAATCTGCGATTGGAACAAATTAAAACGAGAAACTGATCAAAGACTAAATTCATCTTCTCTTCATATGTCTCTGCTGCGACCCAGTGGTTACTCGTGGTACTGCAATAAGACAGCACCATCTCTGAATACTCTAGTGTTGTCTACCTCTTCAATTACCTCCATCAGCCCACTGACTACTTGGTTTTTAATTTGCTACCAGTTAACTGAATAATTTCTAAAACAATATTTATTTTTAAACTGTAAAAAGATTTGTTCACTATGAAATGAATGTGATATTATGAACTTATTTCCCCTAAGGTCAAAAGGTCAGGTGTTTTCCAGGTCACCTGATCTGCAAAGGCTCTCGAGAAAGCTGCATAAGATGCAGACACAAACAATCTGAATTAACTCCAAGGGTAATCAAGCTCTGAGGGAGTTAGATTCAAAGTAAAACACCTCTTTCTTCTGGTTAAATGAGTTAGAATCTCCAAGTCAGATGTCCTCAATCTGAAGATGTACCTCAGAGGCCAGCGGATGTCGCTCTTCTCTCCTTCTCCGACTTTGAAGTTAGACAATGTTTCATATTCTGGTTCCTGAAGCCTGGTTTGCAGCAAAATGAGGACTTGTTTAAAAAGTAAGTAAGGGAATTTATAGGGGAAAAATGTGAGACCAGACTTTAAGACCAGACTGTAGGTGACAGTCTGACTCCCACTGATCTGAAAAATCTCCTCTCACGCCTGAACATCACCTCAGATGACGTCAGTGGTTGTGACACCATCACTGAGACTTTCTTTAAATAGTTTCGGACCGAGATTCTTATTTTTATGTCCCCTAAACCTCCATTTGACTTCATACGTGTGTGTTTATGAGTGTGTGAGCTCCTGATAGAAGGTCTGTACTCACACCTCAGATGACCAATTACACAACGTGGTCTGATTAGTTTCTCCAGGATCTGGCTGATTAAATCTGCATATTAATGAGGGAAAAATATGTCCAGCGGGAGACGAGGGCAGCTTTGTAACTGTGACGGTTTTTCTAAACACCTTCATAAATGAAGCGAGAGCTCAGTGGATCAGTGGTAAAAGAATCGAGTTGATGAATATAAGATTAAATCCACATCTCGCTGCATCTTGTTCATGTTGGATTTACTATGATGAAAATACCCGTTCGTGATGGTAGATGAGGCCAAGACGAGAGCTTCAGACATCTCTTATTAAGTTTGCATATAAGCACGTGGGTCTGTCAGTGACCTACCTGCAGCAGGATGAAATCAGGACACAAGCTTTCTGAGCTTTTACTGCCTGATGGTAAAAGAGTTCAGCTACTTAACGAGAAGAACAAATATACTGTGTCCTCACATCCCACATCAAGCCCTCTGACCTTCTGCAGACTCGTTACCAGGGGGACTGGCCGCAGAAAGTTCAGAGTTCAGTGCATATAAGTGGCTTAAATTACTTTTCACCGCCCGTAATGTAATTCTCTTATTTAATAAAAGTTTTGCAGATATATATAAAAAATATACTGAAGGAACCAAAAGCAAATGCAAATCACCCACTGATGTATTAGATGAACAATATAACAATTTGAATCGCCATAGATTTGCAGCTGATGTAGGTGCAGCAATTGAACCCCTGTGTAGTTTGACCTATGATAACACAGCACATTATTTATTGATTATATTTTTTATTATTGATATACAGACGAAGGGAAGATATCAAAGATGTGTTGATTTTGTCTGACAGCCAAGATTTAGGATTCAGTCATCCCATAATGATCAGTGCAACCATGGTGACCTTGGCCTGAAAAAGCTCCAGCGTCAGGGACAAAAACACGTCTGTCTTTACACCGTGCAACTGCTCCTTTGTTTTCCGACAGTAAAAGATTGTTTGTTCACAAAAAGCAGACAGAAAACACAATCTGCTGTTTTACACTTGAACAGGGAATTCATGCAGCGCTGAGGGAGACTGAGAGGGAAATGAAGTCGAGGGGAAAAAAAGACAGAGAGACATAAAAGCCAGCAAGAGTCAGCGGAGAGTCTGCATGAAAGGTGAGAGAAAAAGGAGAGTGTGAGCAGAGCAGTCACTGTGGTGATGGTCCAGTCCGGAGAGAGGGACACAATGGGATGCCATGAGGACACACACACATGCACACACATGCACACACACGCACACACACACTCACTCACTCACACACACATACACACACACACTTGTATATAAATAACTGGTGTTTGATGTCAGCTTTTCCTGACAGATGGAATCCACATAAATTAAAACCTGAGAGAAAGAGTAGGATATAGGATGGAGAGAAAGAGGCGGCAGGAGGCGTGAGCTTCCTGGTGTAACTCTATGAATCACAAGAAAAGTGCCACTTTAAGACCGGCCTTCATATAACTTTTCCTGTCACGTTGTCATGGTAATAAGCATCAGCACACTACACCGCATGCCTCTGGCTGAACAATCCGATGATGATTGGGCTCAGCGGTCCAGATTTCTGCACAGTCCCGCGCTGTCAGACACATGCTAATGCTGCTCTGCATGACAAAGAGAAAAAGACGGAAGAAAGGAAAAGAAATTCAGACAAGTACCTTGTACAGCAGCCATCTGCTGTGCTTCAGAAATTAAAAAGGAAATTAAAAGTGGGGGATTGAACTGATATTAGGAGAGGGAGAGATTGAGAGATGAGAAAGGGGCGGCAGGGGCGACCAAAAGGGCCGAGATCAATATCTTCTGTATAATTACCTACAGCTTCCTGGGTTGCTAGGAGACCGAATAGAGAGGGAGAGAGAGGGAGAGTGAAAAAGACGAAGAAGATGAGAGAGACAGAAAGAGACACAAAAGATGAGGCTGTTAAAGAAGGGGCTGTGTGAATAATCACTGAGATATTGATACTGACTGTCCCCTTCATCTTGAAGACTCATCATCACCCACATGTGTTTTGTACTTTCTCCGTCCATCAGGTGGTTTTCCTGTATATTCTTTACAATATTACTTATTATTAGAGCCTGGAGACATTTGCAAATGATTTCCTGATGTTTTCCTCTTCTCTCTCTCCATTTCTCTTCATCAGATACTTTCTCACTCACTGAAAATCTCTTGTAAATCTGCACACAGGTTCAAAAGTCTGAAATCATTCACTTGTAGACCCCATTATAATTATAATTTATTCATATAATTAGAATCTGTTAGCATTTAGTTAGCAAGCATTTCATACATCCTCTTCATTCCTCACTTACATGAGAGTTGAATGAAAATAGTCAATTGTTGCGTTCGCCTTGAATCTGAATAACAGCTTTTTTAATGTAATCTCATTGAAGAGTAATGCTGGATTGGTGCACTGTTCCTTTAACTGGAGCAAGGGGATGGGGAGAACAGGGAGGGAGGGAGGGAAAGAGAAAGAGAGAGAGAGAGAAGAGAAGGGAGACCTAGAAAAGGGGGGTTGTGTGCACTCTCTCTTCTCCAACCTTTTGAGAGGTGGGTAGGTTGAGTGTCTTTTAAGAAAGAAAGAGAAAAAAGAAAGAAAGAAGGAAATACATAAAGTAAGATAATTGCCAAAAAGTGTTGCACACCTTCTGAGGATTGTTCTGTTGAGCTTCAGCTTTCCAAGAGAACGTGTTGGATGTGGACTCAAACTGCCGGTGCCACTGATGCCTGATGTCAGTGTGGTTTCCTGAAGGGATTTACACAGAAGACAAAAGTCATACTTCCCTGGAGACGGCTACAAGTATGAGGTGATTCCTGCAGAAGAATTTGTTGAAGATTGTTGTGGTAGACTGAGATTTACTTGAATATTAATGCAAAGCTTCAGAATACTCCTTGGATTAGATGACTTTGGGAGAATAGAACAGAAAACTCCACTGTACTCCTCCAGAATAGATTTAAAGATTTCTAGTTATTCTACAGATTTAAGATTTTAAATCATTTTAACATTTGACACCACTTTTGGACAACTTATTGTTATTTAATGCACTGCTGAATATCTGTAGCCAATATTCTAAAGATACAATCACCCATACCATCAATATAACCTTCTACTGAATCACAAGTCATCTTAATCCAGAGGGAGAGGAAGAATCTCAGTTCCCTTTCAGCGACCTTCATTTATCAGCAAATAGCTTGAAGTCTTCGTAAAGAGATGGCACAGAAAGAAGGAGCAACAGAGCAGGGCCGTGTGAAAGTAGGGGACAGTCTCGGGGCCAAAGCCATGGCCGGCGCCCCTACAGCTGGCGGAGGAGTCGTGGTGGAGGTCAGGGAGAAGAAGGGACCACTGCGGGCTGCAATACCCACAATGCCTTTCCCTCTAGCGGTCATCTGTCTGTTCCTGAACACCTTCATACCTGGACTAGGTGAGTTGGGATTCGGCTTCTCCTGAATTTATTCCTTATGCATAAGGAGGCTGGAAAACGAGGGACCATCAGCTTTGTTTTTGTCTTAATTTTTCCACCTGTGTAAAAGAATGTAAAGCATATAAATAAAGTTAAAAAACCAGAGAGGGCAAACGTGAGAGAAAGTAAACATGGTGGAGCTGAGAATAGAGCGGTCATGAAACTGGAAGACTTGCACAGACACGGGGAGTTTATAGACATGACACAATCAGGCAAAGTCAAAAATAAAATAGATGAATAACAGAGAAGGATGAAGATTGACCATAAAAACTGAATGAAAACTTTGCAGGCTCTGACAAGTTAAAATTAGTTTCAATTTGCTTATGTGTGTGTGTATGTGTGCGTATGCAAACAGAAAGAGGTGAGACAGATAGCGAGGGACCAGGTTCACACCTTGTGTTAAAATAAGAGCGTCATGGTGTAAATCCATCTCCCAGGTGTTAATGGTGGATGTGGAGTCTGGGTGTCGCCACTGCAAGTAGGAATGTCATCTCTCAGAGTGTAAAGCTCCATCACATGCGTCTGCATTATCACAGCAGGCAGACGCATCATCGTCATGAGGAGACATGTGCATCACTGTTACGGGTCGGGAACCTTGACGTGGTGATGTTGTGCTGTGAGCTTGAAAGCTCTAAAAGGAGACAATGAAACAATATCAGTGATGCAACTAAAACTGTGTGGAGTCATTTATGTATTTTACACTTTAAAAAAACGTTGTTGCGGAATTGCACCGTTCAGTAATTTTTGTCAATCTTTTCTGGTATCATCAGTGACTCAATTGCAAACTCAGCTCAAACACTAAATTAGCTCGTTCCCGGTCGGTGATGATAAACTGGTCATCCTCTCTGTTGCCCCCTAGGGCATCACACAGGATGATCCTATCTGCAACGAAGGGCTAAGAGCACAGAGAGCCTCCTCAATGTATGAATGCATGTGTTGTGGAATTTGTGACCACAACATACGCGATATACGAGATACCCTGTGTGTACATTAGAGCATGGATTAAATCAATTATTCCATTTAAATCAATCGAATAACTGTTTGAAGCCAAACATTTAAGAGCGAGTCTTCGGTCTGTGGCAACCTTTTATAAAACACTACATTTTAACCCTTAACAATGTTTACTTTTCTTGATAACTAACTCAATTCTTGTTGAGAGTTAGAAATAAATCTTGATAACACTTCCAAGTACTAAAAACAGGTCAACTGGTGCTTCCCAGCAGTCAGAAGTGAAGAAGCCTTTTGGATGATCTTAAAGCAACTCAACCGGGTCCAGTCGACCTGTTTTTAGCACTTAGATATACCCTGACCTGGATGACTGAGACTCTCCACACTCGACTACACTTGAAGACTAGGCATAGATTTTACCACTGTGTGCGTTTTGATGCAGATACGATCCCAGATGAAAACCACTTTCTATTTTTAGATACATCTCTTCCTGCTCCTCTACCTTTTTTCTCTAATTCCCAGAGTTTAGTCCTGCACTCGTTTGCTTGTCTCTGCATGTGTGTCTCTTTATAATAAGATTACGTTCCAACATCTGGTGGTTGAAGACACACACTCACCTCATCAATATGTTGATCCTCATTTTGTACATAACAAACCCTGTGACGCTCAGGTTGATTGCACACACTCACGCTGTCATCGGCGAATCTAGATCTAGATTAGTTAAGTGTTTCAGCAGGAAAGCAGCAGGACATGAGACGATTACATCGAGTGGGGTTCACTTTAGGAACTGCAGGACGGATAGTGTCGCCATGTGAAGAAATGAAGACAAACAGAGAGAAATAATCAACATAAACTCAGATGTTTTCTGTGATTGTGAGACGTCTCCACAGCAAAAACTCCCAGTCCATCACAAAATACCTTGCATGTGGTGTGTCGTCTATGCCCCCTCGACTCTGATCTGTTGGTCAAAACTCTCCAGGGAGTCATTATCTGTGTGAGTGTGTGTGAGTGTGTGTGAGTGAGTGAGTGTGGGGGAGTGTGTGCGTATCCTCTCTTCACTTGTCTCCTTCCCTTTGTTCTCACTCTGAATTTCCAATTTCTGAATATTTTCTTCTTTCATTCATTCTTTTTCATTAATTTTTGCTGCAGCCTTTTCACAATAAAGGTTGATCAATGTCATAAAAACAGAGTCAGCAAATCCTCATTCCTTTCCTTTCATTTCCACGTTCTTAAAGACATGTGTCCCCAACATGTATAAAATCTATAAAAAAACATCAAGGCAACACCTCATGTGAGTGTGTGCATATACAATGTGAATGTGTGTGCCTGAATGCCATGACATTTCATTGAATAGCTGCGGCTAGTTGTCATGACAACACTGACTGAAATGAACACAATGCATGCATGCGTGTGCGTTGTGTGTTGTGTGTGTATGTCAGTGCCGTTTGGGAGTGAATTGGCCAAGAGTGAAAACAGCATCTCATTCTATTCAACCAACAAAATTTAAAAATGTTGTAATTGAATTTGAGCACCCCATCCAGAAGACATGCAGCCCCACAGGTGTATGGATAAGATACACACAAACACACACAGACACACACACACACACACACACACACACACACACAGAGACAAATAATGTCGGGCTTTTTAATAGCACTGAATAGAGCACCTGAGTCCTTGGTATTATTAATGTCTATAAAGTGAAGAGAGCCTTTGTGCAGAGAAACAGTAAAACTGAAAACCTCACTTGAACTGGAAACATAGTTTTTCAGAGCTCAGGTCACTTTTTGTGAGTATTAAAATTGATAAGATGACAGAGTGTATAATATAATCATAATGCTTTAGAATTCAGTGTGCAACATACAGCATAATTACTCTGGAGTAATGTTTTGTACTTAAATATTGAAACTGAGAACTAGATAAGAAAATTGATGCTTATCTCATGTTAAGAGGTGAATTGATGGAAAGTGTTTTTCATCATGGAATAGTTGTTAATCTGCAGATCTTCAGCTTTGGGCAGAGTCAGGCAGATCTTCTACTCTGAGCCAATGTCTGTGTATAATGAGAGCTTCCGAAAGTAAAGCCAAATTATCTGGATCACCCCCTATTAGCCAACCAATAGGGGGTGATAGGGGGTGGGCTAGAAGCAGGGAGCAGCCAATATAAGTATATATTGGTGTGGTATATTTCTTAAGTTACAAAGAGCTCCACAAGATGATAAAACAACAATAAACTTTACAGACTTAACAAATAGCCGTCTTCCACTCTAATGACTATTTAAAAAGATGACCGACTCAATATTGACCCGCTGACCTGAGCTCAGTGTTAAAGGTTCGATTTGTTTCCTCAGTGAACCTCAAATGTGAGGAAAAGAGTGTGTTCCTCAGCCAGAGCTCCACACTGATATGGAGAATGCAAACTGACAACCTCCCTCTCCCTGCTCGGCTTCTTTTTACTTTACATAATCACATCCGACGTTATTTACCCTGAGTCTGAGATTGTCCCTGCAACGTAATGAGGAGTGAGTTGAAATCTATTGGTGACACAAACCACAGAGGCTGCTCATTCAGCGCAGTGTGATTAATGAGCTGTCGGCTCGTAAATAAATACACATGCATATTGAAACTATGGCTCTGTTGTGTTTTGATCTTTGCCATGAGACGACTGGAAATAGAAAAGCTTTAATACAAGAGAACTGAAGCAAGTGTATGATTTAGCCTCAGCTTGAGTGTGTGTGAGATTGATGGTTGTGTGTTATTGGAGACACTGCATCGGTTTACTGGGTCATGTTGACACCTTGCTTGGATGCATGTGTGTGTCTTGTGAGGACATTTTGAGAAAGTGAAAACATTTTTGTTTTTTTAAAGAGCTGCAGAAGGTTTAGATTTACTTTTAGGGTTGGGGTTACAAATATGTTAGGGTTAAGGTTAGGCTGGGGTTCAAATGCAGCTGAAAGAGAGTTAGAAGGGGCATAGGTAAGCAGAGACCGTGAATGTTAAACAAATACTTCCCTCAGTCCCCCAGTCCTCTATTAAAACCTTGAGAAAGATGGAATGAATGAATAAGTTAATCAAATTAGAGAATGTTTTAAAAGACCTCAGACACTGACGGGGAAGTCACAGCTTTAGTTCTTACGAAAATTATCCCGACCCCCAAGGTCTCTACCATGGCCGATGAATTCAAGAAGATGAAATAACAGCACAGAATCTTAACAGAGAGGTGAAGTGTTAATCGAACCAATTTAAAATATCTGACTTTACCAGTATGTGCAAAGTATTTGGAAACATGCCCGGACATTTCCATAGTATGAATCAACCTCAACGTTAAAAAAGTACTCTGACGTTCATAAAATATCACAAAGTAGTGTATTTGTATGTATATATTTTTGTGTATGTGCATTGGGGTGGGGCTAGGAAATGCATTAAGAGTTTGAGTGTGTCTTGTTGTGGTGGGCAGGTGGACCCAAATGCAGGACACAGGTTAAAGTGAAAAACAAAAGTCAGTAATTCAGACCAGGAACGAGACAAAAGGACAAACAGGATCCAAAAAGACAAGTCCAAAATAATCTACACATGGACAAACACAAGGAAAAACCAAAGCACTGGCTCACACAACAGACAAGACGACCTGATGAAGGGAAGCTCAGAGACTTATAAGGGGGCAGGGCTGATTGAACACAGGTGAAACACATCAGAAACAGGTAGAGACATCAGGGTGGGAAAACAGGACCGGCAGGAAATAAAGTCAGAGACAGACAAGGAGCAAAATTTCAAAAATAAAACAGGAAACAGAGAATTAAGAGTAACCAACCAAATAGAACTCAAATCCAAACACAAGGTAAATGTTCCACAAACTAGAAAAGGAAAATCAGTTTCAAAACATTCCTTTAGAGTTCCAGGGGCAGAATCATGACAAAAGTATGAAAAGTTCTACAGGTGGAGACTACAGGTTAATTAAGATTCGAGTAGGGACTAGTTTTGCGGTTGTGATTAGGCTTGTGGACATGTGGAGGGTTAGTATTAGGGTTTCTCTATAGTTGCACATAGATTGTTATTAAACTGCTGCTGCTGAGAAGTGTTTCCATGAGATGTCATTGTGTACGCGTAATGCCTCATGGTTTAATGTCTCTAATGGCCTGTTCAGTAAACACTCCTGACGTGTTTGTAGATGACGGACAAAGAGAAGTTTAATCCTCTCCAGAACAGATGTAAATAATAAAAATAATAAACTTTATTCGTATTGCACCTGTCATGCAGCTCAATGTGCTTTACATATAATATAAATAAAAACATGTTCATATAAAAGAACAGATTACAATAACATAAGAACATGTTAGGAAATAAAAAAGAAAAAGAAATCATGTACATAATAGAAATAGATTCTTTAGTTTTCTGTCTTTCTTTCTCCCCTTTGTTTTTTGCCTCTCCCTTAACTGTTTCTTTTCTTCTTCACTATCTGTCTTCCTCACACTTACACTCCATCATTAACCTCCTACACGGCCAGTGGGTGCTCTGCAGAGTTCTGTGTGTAATTACAGTCATTAGTCTGGGTAATATCCAGGGACACACACACACACACACACACACACACACACACACACACACAATCTCCCACATGCGACATGCAGAGGATGAGCTTTTAACACATGGAGGAATGTTAGAGTAGGTTTGTAACAACGGGGTTTAAAGCTTTCATGAATTGATGCATTTATTATTACAGTGGAGAAATGTTTGTTTTAATCAATCTCTGCACATTCAAACACAGCAAAGCTACTTCTTTGACACTGACCTTTTTGTTCTGATCATACTCTGTTTATAAAGATGGGCCTCACAACTCTACCTCCTCACACTGTACAAAATGAAGCCAAAATAACCCACACACGGATGCTGCCATCTTGCATTAGTGACATTATTTGCAGCCAGAGTAGGGGATCGTGGAGCGGGGTGTCATTTTGGGGAAAAATGTTACATTTGAAAATCTTGCTTTTGCCTTTTTACCAAATGATAAATCAGCTGATTGATCAATAATGTAAACAACCATTATCTGCAGTTCTGACGCACATGTCGCTCCTCAAGTATCCATTTACCAGACTGAGACTATGGAAGTTGGAAATCGCACATAAAAACGGAAAGTGCCCCCCCCCCTGTTTCAGTTGCCAAAACCTCAGATGGAAGTGACGAGTAGCCGCTCGGACAGCGGCCTGCTGTCAATCATGCCTCGAGTCTGGAGGTGGGCAGCTCCACCAGCAGCCAGAGCATCTGCTGGTGGGCGTGGCCTGCGACCCCGACATTTCTCAGTCTGATCAGACCATATCGGCTCGAAAGCTCGTTTTAGCCCACTGCTGCTCTTTCTGCGAGAGGCTTTGAAATGAGCACCAGCTAAAAGGTTGAAAGGAAATGAATAAATCTAATTCATCTCTTCTTTCTTTTAGTTTTTTACTTTTCTGTAGGCTGCGTATTTTGTTGGTTTGTTTTTTAAGGCCCCAGTGAAAAGAGGTTTTATATTTTGGTGTCCATTCAGAATTGTCAGAGATTGTGGGACATTTTGAGTTTATGCGTTTCTATAGAGAGAGAGATCCTTTGTGGCAGTGCTCTCAGTTTTTAACATGCCTGGGAATATATAATCAGAAATAGGGATGTGAAACTGTAGAAGTGGACAACGAGAAAAACAGAGGAACAAATTGAAAGAGGAAAAGTGACGAGAATTTAACTTCTACATGAGTCGTCTTTGGCCTTAAATTGCTTCAGAGAAACACGGTGCAGCTGGTGTACTTGTTCATCCCACCCCCCACCTGCTTGGCTTGCAATAATATTTGAAATCCACCAATGTGACGAAATGGAGGTAGCAGAAAGAGAAGGGCCAAGGCCGTGATGCACACAACACCCACCAGGCTTTGTGTGTATGTGTGTGTGTGTGTGTGTGTGTCGCACACAGTATTCACAGCTTTCACTTCAGTATCTTTCAAAAAGGTACAAAAACCCTGCAGGGAAAAAGCAAAATTAACAGATTCACTTTATAATTTATCATTTTTGCACAAATGAAAAAAATGTTTCGACTTAATTGCTCAAAGAAAAGAAAACACATTACATTCAGACAGTTTAACAAAAGACATTTCGACTTTCTCAATAGATGAAACCTAAGTGAAAGACTGGAAACACTACTCAAGCAAAAGGCAGACTGAGATCTTTTATAACAGTATCCACTTAAATGCAGAAACACATTTACACAGTTTGGTTGCTGGATATGTTAAAGTAAACTGATATGTTTAATAAATATTTGGAACTAAAATATGCAAATGATATGATCCCTATGGTCAGCAGATAAATTTGACAAAATTAAATCTGCAGTATCTCCCAAATAATGTCCAAAAATTTACCAGAGGATCGTTGGTTTAATCTACATTCAAAATTGTCCTTGCAAGATTAATGAATGGTGTATCACTACTTACAGGACCTCTGTAGGTTGGTACATGATCAAAATTTAAAAAATAGTTGAAAATGAAATGAAGGAATTTAGGTTAAGTCATCAGGCCCAGAGATCCTTCTGTTCTGGATGAAAGTGCATTTTATATTTAATTCCATGCTTTCCAAATCTTTACACAATATTTTAGGAGCTATTGTCTGATTTTCTGCAATCACTGTGAGACTCCGCCCGAAGACGAGATAATCATCGAACAGCAAATGATTTCCCAGGGCTGCCTGGAGGGCGTCCTTGAGGATTTGAATACAGAGATACAGAAAAGCTGGCAGCATATGAAAGAAGTTCATATAGAGACGTACATATTTTCTTTAATTGGGGAATATATGTTTCTGAGACGATGAGAAAATGTCCCCGATGTGATTTCCACGTCACACTGCTGACATTGATTCCCATGTAGGATTTATTTTTATCCTTTTTTCCTCTTTGTATTTTGGTTGACCCCTTGTGTTTCTGTTTTTAGAAGGTATGGGAACGGGACAGGGAGGAGGCTACTATTTGCACACAGATTTCAAAATCAAAGTATTAAGTCATGAAAGAAAATAAAAGAAATAAACAGAAATGAGTTTTAACTTGGTTCTCCCATTCCCAACGATAATGAACGTTTAAAAAAAAAAAATCATATATTTATACAGTGTGCGTCCTACTCCTAAAGGGATGTTGTCATGGAAACATTATGTTAGTAAATAATCTGATTTGTGAGATTACTGAGATTTACTTTGGCCTCTGTATTTTACACACACACACACACACACACACACACTGGAGTCACTGTACGGTGACTGGGCTCTGGGGAGGTCCAGGTCTCTAGATAACAGGATGAGGAGTGATATTGGATTTCATTCAGGCAGAGAGCACCAGTGTGTCTGTCTTTCCCTGCTCTGAGAATGAAAAACACTGAGGCACTTTTCCAGAACAGCGGAACAAGCGGCCATTGAGCAGCTTCAGTCTACAAACTGCAGCCTTTATGATACTTGAGCAAAGCAAATAAGCAAATATTTACAGTTCATTTGATTCATTCAGGTTGTGTTTCAGTATTATCTTTTGTTAAAACAAAATAATTATCATTTACAGTGAAATGTCTCAACTGTGACTCATGAAATCTGGTACAGATGATGTTGACATAATCAACTTTTATCTGCGAATGGATCGTAATCTCCGACCAATCCCTAACCACACATCAGTAATTGTGTTATATGACGATTAGCCAGAGTTAGGATGCTAACATAAGATCTAATTCTTCAGTAATATGTTTCTCTTCTGGTTTATTTGATTGGAAAGAGTCTGATGTATTTCATTGGAGGTTAAGCAGAGTGAAAATCTCCTCAGGCTTTTCTACAGCTGAGATAAACACATGATCTAATAGAAAAGCAGGAACTAAAATATGAAAAGAAAATGATAAATTGAACTGTGGTGTTGTTGATTTTTTAATAACGAGTTTCTCTGCGGGTTTGGTCCCACAGGAACCTTCATCTCAGCCTTCACGGTGCTTTGTGGCGCTCGCAGCGAGCTGGTCTCAGAACGAGGCGTGTGCTGCGTGTTCTGGCTCAACGTGGCGGCGGCCCTTATCCAGATACTGACGGCTGTCATCATGGTCGGATGGATCATGAGCATCTTCTGGGGAATGGACATGGTCATCCTGGCAAGTCAGTAGCTGTCGATCTGTGGTTATCTCTTCAGGCTGGCATTCCAACAAAACTACATCAACATTTTTATAGCATGAAATTCAAATTGTATTACATTCTCAATGACACAAAACTACTCAAAACAAAGTGCATCTGACCTGATCAAATGTGTCCTTTGTCTCTGTCACCTTAAAAATATCCTTCTCCCTAAAAAATGTTAAGCATCATTTGCTTTTAATATTTAAGTTATTATTATTGATTTATGCCTTTTTCTAATCCTACTTACAAAGATAAATATCCAAAGCCTGATGTATAATTGTTCCTCTGTGTCACATACTTCTATTGTCCAACACATAAAAACAGCATCACTGTCTGTTTGACATGCTTTAGCCTGCAGATAGAAACACTATGAATTCTTTCAGTGTAGAAAGAATAAGTAAGACAGTGTATCTGACACATCTGTCACACATTCAGGTGTGCACACCTTTTCAAATTGTCCAGAAACCACTAAAAATACATCAGTGTTGCACTGGGTGGCACATTCCTTTACTATATCACGTGCAAGTGACACTGTAGTTTATTTAGATTCCAACATACACTGTCCAGCTGCAGCTTAATCTGCAGCTGAAGATAGACCCATAAACCATTTACCATTTCTAAAAGGGGTAATTAATCTTAAAACTTATTGTTGTTGGAGGTCATTTAATGTGATTTGTTTATGATAATATAATATGTATAATGTCAACCTAATCCTGCAAGGCTTGTGCTCACAACATTGGGCATTTGTCAGCTCTGAGAGGCACAAATATCTTCAAAGAGAGAAAGAAAGACAGAGAGAAAGATGAAAAGACGGAGAGGTTGGCCTTCACTGTCAGTAGTTGTCTCCTTAGGCATTGATGCATGCAACACACACACACACACACACACACACACACACACAAACACACAGTCATATTTCTATAGCTTCAGAGGACAGTACATCGACTTACATTTGTTTCCTGCCTCATCCAACCTTAACCATAACTATACTTGCCTAAACAATAAGCTAAAACTTCAGCTAGAATGTAAGTAATTAATAGTTTTTTCTCTTTATACCGAAGACAGGTCCCCACAATACCTGGACCACCCACTCTCTCTTACACACACACGGCATTATTCTCTCATTGCACCAAGGCAGCCTTTGTATTACTACACTGTCTTCTTGTATGAGTGTGCATATGTGAGGTAATTGCTGCCTGTGTGTGCATCCAAATGTGCACACGCCTGCAGGAGCCTGTGTGTGTGTGTGTGTGTGTGTGTGGTACAGTAATTGTGTGTATGTGGGAGTGAGCAGCCCCCCCGGTGTGTTTTTGTTCACTGCTCCCGACTGTTCTTCAGGCCTCTGGGCACATGTCTTATTCATCTGTTGCTGCTAAAGTCTAAACTCAAGTTAGCGCTCACGGCTAGCTGGAGTATCGAATGTTTATATTGAATATCACAACAGTTTTCCTGTTGGCACTGAAGGCAACATGCTTACACTGAAATCTTTGCCTCTAACATCAATTATTATTCAACCGGTCCTCAACATGACTTTCTGAGTGTTTCTCCTTCCTCCTGAATCACTGTGATAATGTGGCATATTTATCCATTTTCTATCCCTTCTCTCCTCCCTTTTCTGTCGTTCTATCCTCCTCTAATGAGCCTGTGTTGATACGATCAGTGCATTCTTTCTTCCCATACATCCGTCTCCACAAACACCCCTCCTTCTTTCCTCCTTTTCCATCTATCTAATGATTGTGGTATTATCTTCCTCCCACTGATCGCCTCCCTCCTGCCTCTCTCTCTCTCTCTATCTAATGATTGTTCCTATTTCATCTTGCTGCGTCCTTGCTCCTGCTCCTTCTCTTTCTCTCTCACGTTGTTCCTCCCACTCTCTGCCCGGGCCCCATTCTCCCACTCCGCCTCAGTTTCAGTTTTTACTTCTTCCTTGCTCTGTTTCCCTCTTTTCCTGTCTCCGTCTCTGTATGCTCATCGATCCAATAGACGAAGGTTGCGTTGCAGTATGATCGATTCATTTATTTCCTATTACATACAAACCCATGAACTGTTTAAAAATCATGTCTAACTGTTTCTTTCTTTTGTCGTCTCTCCTTCCTCTGCTCTCCGTCCTTGTGAATCAAAGTTTCTGATGGTAGGTGTTTTCTTTTTTTCCTTCCTCCTTATCAACAGTTTCCCAGTGAGTTAATCAAACAGAGAAATGGCGTCGGGGCACATCACTGACATACAGCTTTACTACAGTTAACATAGATATCAAGTGCACCAACACAAATCATTTCCCAGACGTAGAAGTGACAGTTGTTGAGAACTTTCTCATGATCTTTCATCTGCGTTGTAAAATTTGTTTAGTATCTGATTACACGCAAAGCAATAAAGTTCATTCTTGGCCTTGGAAGTTTACAAGATTCCAACATGGTTTATATCAGGGAATGAGGCAGTTGTCATGGAGCTTTGTTGACATACAAGCTCTTGAAAGACTTCTCATCCATGTTGACTTAGAAAATAAAGAATCACAGCTCATTCTTGATCCTGGAGATAGTAGTTGATCTTGATCAGTGGATGACAGAGGTTGCTGAGTTGTCACAGAGCCCTGTTGACACATGGTACATAATAAATACACTGTATATATATAGAGAGAGAGCTTTTCCAGTCTTATCAAGCACTCAAAGCACTTTTAGTACAAGTCACATTCACACACATTCATACAGCCGTCAGCGGCAATTTGGATTCAGCATTGCTCAAGGATACTTTGGAAGGCAGACTAGGGATCAATGCCCTAACCTTATGGCTAGTGAACGACCCGCTCAACCTCACTTAAAAAAGAATTGTGCCTAAAACGTTGACTTTATGTATTTAATTTGCATACCAAATGTCCATGTACATAAGTTGAATGTCAAGTGTTTTTTTTTATCATGTTGAGTCAGTGTGAATACATCAAATAACCTCAGAGTGATTTGATTCACAAGTTAAACTTCTAAATATGTTTTATAAGTTGAAATACATAAAGGTTTTTTTAAGAGTGTAAAAATTCAGAATCAGAGTTTATTTTTAACCTTGAAAAAAGATGTTTGACCAAGAAAAACAGAATTGCTGAAGAATATGAAATGGAGTTTTTCTGTTTAGATTTTTTTGCTTGAGAGAAACACTGTTCTTTAATTCTTCTGGTCAAACATTCAGATGAAGGTAAAGACTGACCAGAGGGATTCAGTTCCACAAGGACCTGACCATCACTCACAGCCAAACGTCTGTTGATCTTTACCAGATCATGATTGAATCAAAACCTCTGTTTTATGCAACTGTTTTACTTTCTAAAATGTGACAAGTCATATAAGACAAACTATAATTCAAGGCAGACTATTCTTGTGTGCCACAATGTGGAAGCTGGGTAATGGATACCAGCCAATATGTGGTTGTGGCAAACCTCACATATTTTAGTTTGCTCATTAAATGAGGCAGAGAAAGCCAAATATAAAAGTCTAATGCATGTATCTTTTTAGAACCTGTCTTTACTTGAGCTATAAGAGCCAGATAATAGTTCACAATGTTTCCATAGGCAGTCAACCTCCTTTTCTTTTTCCCTCCCTCTGTCTGGACCTCACCCTCCTCTTCGTCAGGCTGCAGAGACCAGGGTCTTCCCCAGGACGTGTGAGAGACATCGCTCTTGTCGTCACCTGATGGATCACGCGGACGGTTTGACCACTGTAACATCCCTGTCGTCTTTTGACGACCTGTAGCTGACAGCAGAGCGGATGGGGCAGAGACCTGATGAGAATGATTCAGTCGTAAAGTGAATCAAGTGTTTGTGAGATTATTTGATCGGCGGCTGTCAATTCGGTCAACACCAGGCCACGTTTAGATTTATCGGACGGAAAGAAGAGACTTACAGTCAGGAAAAGAAAAACGTCTTTGTAATATATTGAGTAATTAAAGCAGTGAGTCAAATTCTGTCTTTTGATATTTTTTATCTAACCCAAACATAAATCTGTAAGAACTGTAGGTCCGCTGCATATTTCCTACGTGACATTATTAAGTAAGGACAATTTGATTTGCATGAGGGTGTGACGTAATCAAAATTGGTCAGTTTTGTATTTCTGTGCTTTTGCCTTGTGATTTTATTTTGACAGAATTCAGTTGGAAAAGAAAAAAAAGAAAAACTACAAATGCTGTAACTTTATTGTGATATCGACACCGTCTTAATCTGAGAATGTACAACATGTATCTAACTTTGAACCTGACAATCACTGCACACAGAATCAGAAATGACTGTGGAACAAACATGTCTTCCTGTGAAGCATGTGATCAAACTACATGTGGCTCTGACGCTTAGTATTCGGTTCATTCTGAGTGATAACTTGATTATGATAGAGGCAGCTGTCCAATTAGTCTGAGAGGTAGAATACAGAATTATAATAGCAAGTTTGTCACGACATGCATGGTTACCCAGAGAAATGACTCATTCTCTGATAATTATGTGAATGTTGGATCTCTCCAATGAGTAAATCAACGTCAAACGATGCTACACACTGTTAAAGCTTTGTATCTAATTAACAGGTTTCAAAATATCAGCTCTCACCTTCGGCTTCTCTGAGGAGCTGTTGTCATCACCCTGTCTGTTGTTTTATGACAAATATAGACTTACAGTTATTTCACTGATTTAGATTCAGAAGCAGGGCCAAGCCTCAACAATTCCTCCAATCACCTGATACTCTTAGAAATAAAAGTGCTAAATAGAACCATAAAGGGTTCTTTGAATAAAAAAACCACAGTTGTATAAAGAACCCTTATCTCTAAGAGAGTACATCAACACATCATGCACTGTTTGTCTCAGATTCTTTGGCCCTTTGCCTTCCCTTCACCCATTCACCCTTCTAACTCATCCCTCCCTCTGCTCCTCCCTACCCACATCCCTTCATCCTCCTTTCCTCTTCCCTACGTACAGGAATGAATGAATGATGAATCAACCCCAGCCCCCCCCGGCACTGGTGACCTCTACCAGATCATCTTCACCTCAACCCCTTCCCTCAATGTCCATTCCTTTTTCCTCAACATCCAAGACATCAATTTCCATGAAAACCTTTAAATCACATATTGTTGTGGCCTGGTCCTCTCTCGTGAAGTTGCAGTTTTAAAAAAATAAAATAAAAATAAGAGTCACTTTAGATCGACAGCTCCCATAACCAGCTCCAGTTGAAAAATCAAAAAACGTTCAGGTTGTTGAATTCAGTTGTGTGGAGTATAAAGTTAAAATGTGTGCATTGTCTATGCACCAACATGTGGGTGTCATGTCTGATTGTGTGCAATTTGGAGAGTGGGGAACATTGTATATATGGTGTGGACTCAGTATCACCTTGTGCTTTGATAAAGATGTGCAATTCTATCATGCACAAAACTCTAAACTTTTCCCACAATGCCACATCAGCTTCCTCTAGATTGTATCACCGGCTTATTCCCCTGACAAACATCCACGAGTATCAAAAGTCAAAAAAGCCTTAAATGAAATGAATGGAACCAGCGTGCAGGAGACGGAACACTAATGGAGAGCAGTGAGTCGAGCGCTCGGCTCAGCTGCTGCTTGAAAACTGAACAGGCTCTGGGCTATTTTAATGAACTGCAACCAAGTTTACGACTCAAGACAGAAGAAAACGGCAGACTGTAAAATCTTCTGTAATACCGAGAAGATTCTTGCCAATATGAGGCAACGTTTATGGTGTTTGTGCCTCTAACTTTATTCGTCTAATTTACTTTTCCCTTTTCTTTATTTGATTTTTTGACTGGTGATGTATCGCTTTGATTTATTTTTTTTCCCTTTAAGGATCTCTGTCGAGTTTCTCAGCCAAATGCCTTTCTTGAGAGTACTGCTGTATTTTGGATGACAACACCAAGGCTGTCGTGTTTTAACTGTTTATATGTTCTGCAGATTTTGCGTGTGAGGAAGATGAGGATGACGAGTGTAAATGTGAAGATATTTTATGCCTTACAATTGACCAGTGTTTTTGTAGTGGTGGTGCTGGAGGTTCTTTACTTTGTTTGGGTGAAGTTTATAGATCTGTAATAATTGTTATGAAGACACATCAATCTTTCAGCCGTACATATTGATTCTGTATCGGGAGAAATACTGACTACTTGTAATGTTTCGGGTTTTTTTCAATGATGACGATGGTGATTTTTGCTTTTGGATTTCCATATACAGTTTTTTGCATGCATATGTATCGTGTCATATGTATAGAGTAACACACACACACACACACACACACACACACACACACACAATACATTTGTAGTTTCTGTCATTATTGTTTTTTAAGCCATCTGAGGTGACTGATACAAATTAAAAAAAGTTTTTTTCGTTATAACTGTATACTTGTGAATAAATGATGTATGTTTTTTTTATATAATTAATCAATCCTCTGATGCTGAGCTGAGTCACACCGACGTCGCACACTCACACCTGAGATCTTTAGTGTCACCATAAAGCTGCTGTTTGTGAAAATGTTTCAGCAACTGCTGTGACATTAGACCCATTCAGGGGCGGATCCAGGGGGGGGGCACTGGCCCCAGGTGAAATCTGATGGGACCCTCAAGTCCCCTGGTCCTATCAATAGTGTTAAAAAATAGTCTAACAAAATTTCTAAGGTTGTTTGAAGTGCAATTATCAAATATACTCAATGATGTGTGGCTTAACCCAAAGCTATAGAGCTAACAGTAAACTGGAAAACAGTAGAGCCCCTGATCAAGAAAAACCCTGGATCTGCCACTGGGCCCTTTTTCCTAGAATGTGACACAAGCTCAGCTTCAGATCTGCTGTCATTGCTGGAGGCAAAATAAAAAGGTTTATTATAGGGCAAGAAGAAATGCCATTTTTAAATAGTTTTCATTTGCTTAAAGAATGATGGCTCCGCTTTAAGAATTGTGTGACTTTTAAGAACATTTTCCATGAAACTCCTGCAGAAAGTTTTAATTCAATGCCACAGAGTCATCTCCAGTTGAGACAGTGATGCCTCTGTGAAAGTAATGAAGCAGAAGGAAGAGGAAATGTCTCTTGAGTGAAACTGTTGCTGCTGAGTGTCACCTAGCTCAGGTTTCTTCTACAGTCAGGAATTGAGTTATTCCAATTTATCTCCTGATTACTCCACTCTAAAACTAACACCAGTGTTTCCATGGCAATATAAAAAATTATGTGGAGTTTTTTTTGTGTGTGTATGTATATGTGTGTGTGTGAGAGTGTGTTTGTCTTTAAGGTTTGAGCCCAGACTTCTTGACGGTCCCCTCTCACCAAATAAGGATTTCTGGCTGCTTGCTCATTCAGACCAGTCCTCTTCGCTCCCTCCATCCTCTCCACAGTATAAACACAACCACAGTCGAGTTGTTTCCATCTCGTTTAAGCGAAGTTGCAACGTCAAAACAACGGGTCAGCGAGACATGATGCAGGGACAACACAGGGGTGTACAAACTTTCCCACCCGGGGAGCTCAGCACTAGAAAATCCTTGTAGTATAAAATATGAATAAATGCTTGAGGGTATGAGATATGAGCTTGGCACCAATACCTCACTAACAGATGCATCTTTGTGTAATCATCTTCCACTCCAATTCCTCACTCCTCCACTGACAGGATGCAGAAAGGACATATAAGGTCCGAGTTTGATATGATACAAATATCTACTTGGCTTCAGGATGGGTGTGTTTTTCTTCTTTTATTGATCAGTTCTTGTCTGTAGTTACACTGCCACATTCTGGACACTGAGATGAATTACAACAAGCCACGGACAAACCACAGCTCTGAACTACTGTGGGGAAAAAAGTGTGTCCACTGGATTTTCCCATCGAGGATGAAAAGTGTTATAGGAGGAAAAACATATCTAAATGTCTGTCTACATGCACTCAGACCCTGTGCATGAATACTGACTCATTTGCCCACATATCTACCTATCTATCTATGTATTCAGTACAAGTAGACTTTCTGGATATTTGTGCTGCCAGCTCCTCCACCACGAAGACATTGCTAAATAAGGACGTCAAACTGTCTCTCTCTGTTCCTTTTCCATTCTCAACTCATATTACTTCTCATCACCATGTATACATTGAGATCTTTGGGCTTAAATGGACTCAAAGTGGTAAAGATGTCACACGTAAAAAAACACACAAAGCCACTTGACCAGAGTAGATCAAACTTTTACTCTTTTTTTCATGGAACATCTCCATCACATCTTTCAGTTAAGAATTCTGTTTGATTAGAAAATTTAAACCATCCTTGATATGAAATATAAAGTAGAGATTTCTAGCAAAGAAACAACAAAAAAACCCTCCACTGGAAATTACAGGCACCTCGATTTTACCCCATCCTCACACAGCAGGGTAGAGAGAACTGAGTCGCACGCCGACCAGGTGAGGAACCCGAGACGGCGTGGAGCGATTGCGGACTTAGAAGCGAGGCGGGCCCAGGAGCTGAGCTTGTGCGAAACAGAGATGAATCTCTCGTAAATATTCATGAAACAGCGCTGATACGAAGGCTTCATCTTCTTAGGGACAGAAACGATTCATGTGGGTTCATTTTTATGATTTTTGTGAGTCTATAGATTTCTAACACAGAGCCACAATGATAACGGTTTTGTTAGTAATTAACTGCAAATCATGCAATAAATCCAAACAAGAAAACTCAGGAGAAAAAGGACAAAAATCTCGAGCAGGAGCTTTGAAGATTTTCATCCCAAGACACAAACGGAGTAAAATCATGTTTGTTAAAACGCACAGATCAGTTTCATTGCCCCAAAGGTTTTCCCTCAGAGAATAAAAGCTAAAAACAGCAACAGAAAGTAGAGCAGAAACATGATTCAGTAATGTGGCTACGATGATACAGAAGAAACTGTACTAGATAAACTATACACAAGTTAAATCTCACACCTCTGAGTGTAAATGCCGACAAATTCCAGTTTGCCACATTTCCCGTAACTGGCTAAATAAACCTGAACTCAGTCGCTTGGCATCCGATTCTAAACTATTTCAAATCAAAACTCCTGCATTTCGTATGTCGTCTAAATTAAGAACAAGCCTAAATTATTCCAACGAAACAAAAATCAAATACGTTTGTGAGCCAGACAAGTTGGTCCTGGTTGACAGTGACTCGTACAGCCCGGATACTGAATTAACCCTGTTATCATCTTGTGACCTCACAATAAAACGTTAAGTCCCCTACCTTCATACAATCAATGTTTCCACCCATGACATTTCTGGACACTTGCGATTCGCCCTGGAAGTTCAACAAAGCACAGCAACACAACACAAAATAAAAGAAGAATTATCTTGAAAGAGGAGAGAAATTCCAAACATTCATTTTACACCTGAACAGGACTGTTCCTCTTTTTAATGTCTCCTCGGTCTGTCCTCTCAGGGCTAAATGTAGCTAAGAGTTAAAGCTCTGAGACGCCATGTTGCTTCAGCCTTCCCCTTTCAGAAGTGGTGGGGGTAAATATTTAGAAGTGCCTTCCAAAGCCTCATTGTAGTGGGATGCCCAAAGTGATCAGTGACCAGTTAAGGTCAGGAAACGCGGCCTCTGCTCTGCACGTCTGCATCATCACAACCTGACGGTCACTTAACCGTTGGCCCCGGGAACTGTCAATCCAAACACTTGAAACTGGCCTACGCTGAGTGAGAGGGGGGTGTGCGGCCTTCCCAGTATTTCTGATACGTCGTTTGGAACATCTCCTTACACCCCAGCTTTGCGTTCAGCCGCGAGCAGATGAGGAACGAGCCGCCCATCTTGCGGTGGAGCGAGTACGTTTCCTCTGGAGGCGGGGTGAGGCGGTGTTTGAGCATCACGGGGATCAGGTTGTGGATTCTCTCTGTGGTGGACTGAGAACTGAAGTCGAAGGGCTCTGTGGAGGCGAAGGCCTCGCCGAGGATCATCACGGCATCCACGTGTGCGTTCACCATTGCCTGGACGCAGAGAGTAAAAAAAAACAAAACACTGAATACTTCCATCTATGAACAACCTGGAAGTAATGTTGTAACTTAACAACGGATATTTATTGTATTTATTTAGTTCTGGATTTTTGACACAACTTTTTTTTTAAGACTTATTGTCCATTTTTACTTTAATGGCAAAAGTTCACAGCAAGTTCTGGATGAAAAGAGTGATAGACTTAATTACCTTGGACTCATAACCAGTAAGGAACTTCATCTCGATAGACTTCTTCAGAACTCCCTCACTGTCGCCCTCAGAAGCTGAACGGATGACCTGAAACCACAAATGTTATCACAGTCGCCTTTCTTCCATCTGTTCAGACACTATTTAAATCCCTGAACCTAAAATTGAGTGTGACATGTCTATTTTTCACAAGCTATGATTCGACATGTACGTTTATAGTCACTTTTCATAAAAGTCAATTCACTGCAATCAAACTTTTTGAGTCTTATAAAATAATTAAAAGTGAGAATGAGGCTCAGCGGTCTTACCTCAATGTAGACGTCTGTGAAACTCTGGTCAAATCCTCGAGTGGCTCCAAAGTCTAACAGCGCCACCTAGAGAGTCAAATCTCACTGTAACTGCCATTCTGTAGAACGTGTACTGGAAATTACTACAGTAACTGTAGACGAACTCACCTTGTGTGTCTGTGGGTCGTAGAAGAAGTTGGACCAGTTTGGGTCGGTCTGCATGTATCTGAACTCAAACAACTCTCTGAGGCACAACGTCAAGATGTTCTGACAGATCTGAAGCATAAACACAGATATATTGATTTTTTATAATGTTTTTATTCACCGCTCAACATGGTATTCAATTATTTCAGCATCTTAATGCTTGGCTCTGTCCAGTCTGTGAAGTTCACTACACTGAGGACTATTTCTATAAATGAATGAATGCCTTCATTTCTGTTTTAATATTTCTTGTTCATTTGATGGCATATTCATTTATGTATTGGTGATTTATTAACTAAGAAGGAGGGAAATATCAATGGATTTAAGGGAGGAAGTGAAGGGAAACAAAAACTTAAACATGGACTGATCCTTCCCTCTGCCTGGCGCCTGCTGTACCTCATTTTTCAGCTCCTGTGAGAGGCTCTCGGCCTGGTCCAGAGGAAACCCAGAGACGAGCTCTGTGGTCAGGACATATTTGTTGCTCAGCTCCTCTATCACCTCTGGTACATTGAAGAATGGATGGTCCTTCAGTAGCTCTCTGAATCACACGCACAGAGACACAGACACACATTTAGTAGTTAGGGAGTCCATGTCAGGTATTAAATCTATATATAGCTGCCTGGCAGTTCTGACCCTGAACCACAGAGATAAACATTTAATGAGGGAATGGTTTAAGCTGTGTGGTTTGAGTGCAAGACAAATCTAACAGTGAACACAAATACACAAAATAACACACATAAGTAAAAAGGAGAGAAAAAGGAATGTTGAATATCTAGACTGTATAAACTTTATATACCTGAATTTCTTTGCACACTGAGCTTCTCTAACATAGTCGCATTCCAGAGCCAATTCTTTCCTCATCACGTCAATCAGATGCTCTGGAAACAAACCTGTCGATGCACAAAGAAACAAACAGAAGAGGGGAATGAGAAAGACCGGCTATTAGAGGACTGTCAGAGTGGAAGTTCAGTCGAGTGTGTACCGTCAGGCAGAGCATTGCTCATGCTCAGCACCGTCATCAGGTTGTTGACGTCACTGTTGATACTCTGAGCCACACCGGGGTACTGGACACAAACAAATCAAACACAGAGGAGGAAAGTGAAAATTTGATCATGAGATTAGGAGAAAACACAAACACAATATTTGCAGTGTTTTAATCAGAATTTGACTTTAAAAAGCTTCTTATTTGTACTCAGATCAGAATTGAACTGGCACAGAGAAAAGATTAACAATGGGTTCTCTATGCATGAGTGCTTGACAGAAACAAATACATCTCCAGTGACAGTGTTTGCATTAATAACAAGAGAATGTACTGTGTGTACACACACACACGCACAGTCACAGCCTACCTGTATTTTCATGGCTACTTCTCTCCCGTCCTTCATCCTCGCCAAGTGAACTTGGCCAATGGACGCTGCCGCAAACGGACGCTCCTCGAACGACTCCAGTTTGTCTCTCCAGTTTGGACCCAAGTCACTGTTCAATGCTTTCTATAGTGAAGACATAAATCACGGATATATTTGCAGCTTGTCATGTTCAACTTGATATCCTATGAATGACCTGGTCCAGACTTGGTGAAAGATGTAAAGTTTTAAGGGAATTTACAGTGGATCTGATTTGGTATTTTGTTATAACTGTTACATCAGGTCAAAGAAAAACAAAGATCCTTACTGTCATTTGTTTGATTGGCATGAAGTCAGCACTCTGTCTTACACGCTCGAAAATCTTGGCGAGCTGAGGGTTGATGAATGCATCGTCTGAAACACAGAAACACACCAGGGTTTGTTTCAACTAAAATCCAATGACAATGTGACAATGGTGAGTATTTGCCCTGACGGTTCATGTGCATATTCCATCTTGCGAGCATGTTACATTCACTTCTGACGCACCAAACGGACGCAGAATACGCAAGGCAGCCATGATGTGTACATAATGTTGTTAAAAGCAAGGTAATCTTGAAATGTGAGGCCTGTAAAAAAATTTTTTACATAACATACATAACATCCTCTCAGAGAGTATGTTGTTTTTGTGGAAATTAGTATTGTAACGGTGCACCGATATGTACCAAAACTTTTCGGTAAACCGAGCTCCTCGTGGCATTCAAGCAGCCTCTTGCTAACAATTATTCCACAGCAGTATGACTCAGTACTGCCTGACTCCAACCCAAATATAATTGCAAAATTCAAAATAGAACACAGCTTGACAAGGTTGAGTATCTGCAGTCTCGCAACAAATGCCATACATGTTTTTATAGCAGCAGATAACAATCCAGAGCATGGGGTTTAAGTCCATGCTGAAAGTAATCTGGCCCTGGTATCAATCTTTTGATTTACCCCTTGAAAATGTACTTAACTTGCAGCCAGATGCAGCAGTTTTACAGACTTTACTTAATAGACTATAGCTGCCATTCTTAAACTGCTTTAATATTTCAAAAAGATGCAGTTTTATATTTTGTTTTTCTTGATTTTTTCTTTGCTGAACAGTGACGTCAAAACCTAGGTATGTACCGAGCAATGATTTTAATGTAATGTTACACCCCTGACAGATGCACTGTTATATCAAATCTCTGCCCAATCATGCTGTTTGCGTCAGTGCTCAACTTGGATGAATTAAAGTGTTTAATAACGTCAAGGGAAATTACTTAGATCCCAGGTTTAATTACATAATCATAACACTGGGATTAACTGGGATATATTCTGGATCCTGATAACAGGAATCATAGTTGCAAACTTTATTATCAGGAGTTTGAAAATAGTTTCAGACCCTTCAAGGTTGACACTATTTTGGACTGTGCTAAAGGTTACAATGGTTGGACGCACAATCAGCCAGCCCCATGGCGTTCCTGCCATAACAGATAAATGTCACCACTGCAGGAACTTTCATCCTCCACATTTACACAACTCCACTCAGTCACACTATAAATGAAGTCTCTAAAAGTACAAGCGATTACAGTGACCTTTTGTCCAGAATTTAAGAATCAGCCTGTCACCACTTGAGAGATACAGCCAAGTTCTACCAAGGTCTGCAAATAACAAGGTCAACGTCCTTTCTGTCTCCAATAACTGTTTTTGTGCTTTATTACTACATCTACTACACTTTAACGTCTCTGTCACGTTTGCCTGCACATATTAGGAACTCCGTGCATGAATGCCAAAGGACAAAGTTCAACAGGCAAGGTCGGGCAGAGGGTACAACAGCAACAAACAGAATATAAAATGTGTTTACTGATGTTACCCGAACTGGCTGTGCTAACTCTGTCCCAGGATGCTTCCTGCAGCTGGCCTTCGGCTCGTGTATTCTTCGCCTTGTGTGCATCAAGACAAACAAGTGCTGGTTTACATATGGGTCAGTTTTTATGATACAAGGCTGATGGTGTGGACTCTGTAGAGTTAAGTCACCTGTTTGTTTTTTTCTCCAGCAGAAAAGAGTTGACCTGAATTGGACTCTTGGCTGCAACTGATGGACAACTACCACATGCCAGTGCCAAATCTCTTTTGGAGACAGATGCGATTCAGGGTTTCTAGTGCAATAACTTTACCTTACAGCCATAGTCAGAGGCGGGGTGCACTCTGGACAGGTCGTAGGACCAACATACAGAGACAAACAACCATTTATACCTATGGAAAATTTAGAGTCTCCAATTAAGCTCAGCCAAATCTGCATCTGCATGTCTTTAAACTACAGGAGGAAGTTGCTGCATCTGAGAAAACCCACACAAAGGAAGAACATGCAAAGTCCTCACAGAAAGGACAGAGAACCTTCTTGCTGTGAGGTGGATGGTGGATATTTAGTGTTTAAACAACTGTGTGTGCATGTTAGTGAGTTTAATCACCAGATAGTGTGCAGTGTTGCAAAATATCATGGACAGACTCAGCAGCTGTATTAATGGAATTGAAAAGGCTTTTTAACTATCACATTAGGAAGCAACACATAAATTATACCATGAAGAATCATCCATCTATTCTTCTTGCTTCTATTTTTCTGTTATCATTCTTTCTCTTTTTCTCCCCACACTGGCTCATATGCCTCCTTTTATCTAATTTCTTTTGATTGAGTTTGCCGCCCACCTTGAATGCTGAGCATCTGTCCCAGTTTTAGAGCAGCTCCTCGGACTTTGCAGAGAGTTCTGACGATGCGTTCAGCGTTCGCCTCGGACAAGAATGGGCTGGAGTCCAGAACGGCTTTCTTGTTTTCACCTGCAACAGCAAAAACACACAGAGGAGAACTGAGCAAAACGCTACAATACAACGGCTATGTTTTAACTCCAGAGCCAATCTTTTTCTTTCCTCTACAGGAGCTAATCAACTATTTAACTATTAAGTCTTTCAGCTGGAATCAAAATCAAGAGTAGTTTAAATTCAGGTGTAAACGCGGTATGTGGATGTGTTTGTAAACATACCCTGTGTGTGTGTATGTGTGTCAGTAGGTCGTCAGGTAATGTGTTTTAGAGTCGGCTGTTGCCTTCAGGAGCTTTAGTGGATTTACAACACACACAGACGTACTTACAGTGTTTTAAAGACGTCGCTGCTGGATTAACACACACACGCACGCACGCGCACACACACACACACACACAGATGCACAAATGACACAGATTTAAACCCGTATGCTCGTTTCAGTTTAGCAATGTTTTAGGATTAGCCGGATCATGACGCAGAGCAGGAATGAACGAGGATGACCAGTAAGGGAGGAAGGTGGAGTTGTTTTTTGTGCACTCTGTTAAAATTCCAAAAGTCGGAAGCATGTGAGAACATGAATGAAGGATGGGTACTGACAACAAATCACTTTTTACAACAGGGAGGCAGTGTTCTCTGTGTACTCTTTCTATGAGCCAAAGAAACGAGAAAGATACACAACGCCTGTCTTTACAGGTACAGGCGAAGCCTCAATAATTAGTGTATTAGAAAATACATAGGTATGTTGATGCAGTTTTTATATACAAATACAGTTTACAATGAATTCAGAAAGAGGTAAATGCACTTTCAGTTTGATACTGGTTGTATATGATTATATTATGTATTATGTATATGATACTCCCATGTATATGATTCAGGAATGATATAAACCAGTTGAAACCGAACTTGAGTGGGTGAGTTTTACAAAATGCTGTAGTAGTAGTAATAGTGTGTGCCAGTGTGTGATTGGTGTATTACCTGCTACACCACTGTGTCTCATGGTCTTCTTGGCAACTTCTGCCAGAGCTCCAATACCCAACCCTACAGCCAGACCTGATGGAGACACACACACACACACGGGACAAAAAGTAACAAGAAGAACACAATTAGAGTGCGTTGTAACACAAACACAAATATATGAATGTGCTCAGTGTGTAACAAAATGAAGTTTACACATAACCAAACCAATAAAATAATTCAGTGATCAACAGGCAACTTCCACAATGAACTGTTTCATTATTTTAACTATTTCTTATTAAGGATAATATCAGAAGATAATGAAAAGGAAAAACAAGACAGAACGAGTTGGGGACCTGTGAGTGTGTGTGGGTGGGCTCCTCCAAGCCTAAGCTCCGCCTTACATAACTCAAGATTACATAATCAGTTAGTCAGCGATCTCTGAAGCGGCAAATCCGAGATGCAAAGGTAGAGGGACAAATTTAAGACGCTACATGCTTTGCCTTTGTGCATAGGGGAAAAACATGTCAACTACTCAATGTATACAAACATATATACACATATAAAGATACTGTATACACACATACACATACATACATCAATTTTAATAGTGTGCAGCATAGATGGATCTGCATGTGTGTGTGTTTGTGTGTAACCCCCAGCCAAAACAGTTTAGCATTACAAAACTTTCCAGGCCAAGCACAAGTGTCTGTCTATCACTTCCAACTGCTCTATGCCTGATGTGCACAACATGATCCTTGTTCTTTTATTAACTATTCAAAACCAGGAAAAACTGAAATATATAAACAGATAAAATCCTGTTTCTCCACAAACCTCAGCCAATCCTTTGAAAGTAGTAAAAAGCATAGCAACACAACTAAGCTGCTGTAAATGCTGCTGCTACTAGACATTCCAACAAATTCACAATACTATGAAGCACAGTTATTCCTGGTTTCCAACCTAAACTGCCTTTAACCTGGATTTTCATCGGCCTTTCCCGCTCTGCATAAAAACCAGGTTTGAGAAAGACTCACTCGGTCAATAAATAATAACAGGACAGTGAAGGACAGACCAAGGAAACATTCCTCCCCCCTCCCCGCCCCCACCATCTTTTCAACACCTTCTTCATGTTACCACCGTCAACATGCTGAGTCAGCTCCGCCTTCTGCGTCTCACTGTGACATGTGTAACATCCGATGAGCTCAGGCTTAATTCTGCTGCATATACTTGTCGAGCTGATGATGTGTTCTGGGTTTACTTTTATTCAAAGTTTATATTCACACTGTGTACTTCTTGAGTCTCAGTCCAACTTTTTCTCCCTGTTAACTCATCAATCATGTGTAGATATGTAGATGGAAACAGATGGAGCCCTCTGTCTGTAACTATGTGGGCAGTGACGGTCTTATTTTCATAAGGAAAGGCAGCATAAATTATTCTTAAACTAAACCTTCACAGTTAAATCTGCTACAACTTGGGTTTTATTGACAAATACGAGTTCATTTGTGAATTTAAAATTACTGTTTTTTTAGATGTGGACCTCCTTGATTATCATTTTAGCAGAAAATATGTCACAACTAATATTCTGAAGGATCATATTTAAGTTTAAGCAAAACAAATAAATCTATGTTATGATCACAAACACAGAAACACACAGTCGAGCAGATTTTAATGGAGCCATATAAAACACTGCTGCACTTTGACTCTCCCGGCCTGTACCTGACACAAGTCCATTAATAAGCACTGACTAAGCTTGACCTAATTTCATTGTTTGCTTAGCTGTAGTTTCAGGGGTCGACACTTGACCAGCACTCATGATACTCATCTGTATTCTGTGTTTATCTCTAATTTCCCCCTCGAGCTGAGAACTTTGTCTTCAATTGGATTTAAATTTGCCTCCAGATGTGTATTCTGTGATGTTTTATATGTGTGTGAGAAGGTCATGGAATGTGAAACGCACTGGGGTGACCCCAGCTTTGAAGAGGGAGTGGGCTGTTAGAGTTACCCTGAAGAGTAAAAGGTCGAGAAGTTCCCATGATGTTTTTAACTTGGCGAATGTCCAACAAACTAACAAGAGAGGAAC